TCATCACATCTACTGTGTGATCGAAATTCTTGTGTTTTCTTATTTTAGCTAAACAAAAGAACCTGCAAGTTAAGATTTGGTGTCATGCAGCAAAGGGGAATAAGCATTTAAGTGCCTCTTTGGGAGGCTATTTAAAAAAATGAAGTAGATCTCTGAACACATCTGTGGGTTTCTTATGTCTGTGAGTTCAGCCGGGGAATCTGTTTACCAAAGATCTCTTTAATTATGATTTGTTATATGTTATTCAAAAATGTTTTGCTTTTTTGTTGTAAACATGAAGACATTGCAGTTTAATGAAATATCATTATTATTTTTAAGAAAAATAAAACGTCTTCAAATGAGGTACAATGGCAGTTTCTTCGGCACATTTTTTGGCATCACTCATCTGGAGCTCTGAGCAACATTTTATATATAGCATATTATGTTTGTGTTTTCTTTACCATACATAATATTCACATAGGAGACTGTCTGCTAAAATGTGTAAACACAGAAGGGCAATACAATATACATACATACATACATACATGCACACATACATACAGTACATGCAAACATACATATATACATACATACATTCATACATACAGACAGATATGCACTTCAGCAATGTTATAGCGGCTTAAATACACATTTGTGTAGGTGTACACATACGAGGAATGAAAACCAAGCAGATCCCTCGTATGTGTACACCTACTTGGCAATAAATCTGTTTCTGATTCTGATTTTTTTCATATTTGAGCTGCTATAACATTGGTTACCTGTAGGTGGCAGCAGTTCACCCAGGAGCCGCTAGTCTACCCGAAATGAAACACGCGAAGAAGAAGTCGGCACAGAGACACAACACAACCGCCACTAACTGTTCAAGTTAGAAACCCACAAACTATGGCACCTTAAATGTAAACAGAAGAAGGAAAAATAAAGACTCTGATAACGTGTGTGATATAGGTACGTTTACAAGATTAATTCACCATTTTGCAAAAACACACCAGGTGCACGCTGCCATGCTAGCTAATATATGCTAGCTAATACATGCTAGCTACAGACAGGAACGTTAGCTCATTTCTAACCAACGTTAGCTTTCCCATACATTCGTTTTCTGGGGATAAATGTTAGTAAAGACACATTAGTCATACATAAATTATAAAATTGGATACAAATGCTTCTTTATTGTCTCCCTAGACGTTAGCTGTCATGGGAAAAGCTAACTTTGACTTTATTTATTCACCTTTTTGCTAGCTATTTCTTTAGCTTAGTGAGGTTGTATATTGTAGTTTTAGATACTCTAGTGATATATGTCCTTTCCATTGTGCATGTGTATATACTTGCTGCTAATATAAACACATTGCTTATTATATTTGTATCTTTAAGGTTTTAGTTACAAATAGGAACGTTAGCTTTCCCATACATTTGTTTTCTGGAGATACATGTTGATGGAAACACAAATTAGTCATATGATAACAATGTCTACAAATGCTTCTTTGTTGTTTCACTAGACGTTAGCTGTCAGGGGAAAAGCTCACTTTGACTTCATTTTTCCACCTTTTTGCTAAAACATGCTCGCTGTCGTTTGTTTATTATGTACCATAATGCGAAGTCAAGTGTTTCACCTGTTTCACCTGTTTCACTTCAGCTAAAATCTGTGAAATGCAGAGGCTGAACAAGTATTTAGAGCAGGGGTGTCAAACTCAAATACACAGTGGGCCAAAATTAAAAAAATGGGTACTAGTCGAGGGCCGGACTGGTTCAATGTTTATTGCAAAACTTATTGAAATGAACTTATTGCACATATTAAACCTGGTACTAACAAAGCTTAAATTATTGCCTATAAAAACAACATTAAACATTAAATAATCAGTTGCATTCATTTCTTATGGCTCTATCTGCAGCTTTTCCAGAGTCATTTCTTATGATTACATTTCTCCACAGGCCAACAACAGCTTCAACAAAACTATTTCCCTCAAAGAGAAAAACCAAACATGCCCTGTTGTCGTGAGAGAAAAAGTGCAGACTCAGTAAACTCAGTGTGCTGCTCTGTGATGCTAGTTCAAGCCAGATACTTGGCATCTCCTCTTGGGTGCAAGTTCATCAATGTTTGGGGTCAGGCTCTGAGCTGAGGAGACCCTCAGGATGGAGTGAAGGTGTGCGTGCAATATACCGGCGGGCCAGATCTAATAGTAATTAGAAATTATCCTGCGGGCCGAAATTAAATCCACCAAGGGCCTGATTTGGCCCCCGGGCCTTGAGTTTGACACCTGTGATGTAGATACTTTACTCAAGTACAATTACTTATACCACACTGTAATAATAATTGATTTGAAGTCAAAGTACTGCATCCACAATGGTACTGAAGTATAAGTATTTATGTATATATTTTGGAAACTTCTTAGCAACATTGCTGCACATAAATGTCTCTGTGTGTGTGTGTGTCTCTCTCTCAAAATGCGCTCGTGCCACACACACAAACGCTCCTCCGTGACAATGACCGCTTGCGTAAAAAAAAAAAACACATTTGAAAAGTGGGGGAGACACAAACGGGATTTTGAAAAGTGGGGGGGACATGTCCTCAGTGGAAACTACGCCCATGGGTAAAGTACAAGTACCTCAAATGTGTACTTAAGTACTTGCTTGAATGGTACGTTAACGTTTAGCACTTTATTTGCATTGAAAGGTGTCCTGCAATGCTACATTTAACTTGGCATGTCGGCTTTTGACACTATTCACTGATCCAATTACACATATCTACTCCAGTTTACTTTGAAGGAAGACTTGGAGATGATTGTTGTATATATCTCGATTGGAGAGTGGTGATTAAAAAGTGATGTTAAGAGCTCCTGACCTGACTGTTTTCCCCTCATACAGTGAGTGACCCTCTCCAGGATGTATGCTGTTTACAGACAAGCACACACTCCCACTGCGGTGGAGTTTTCTGTCTACTGCAACTTCATATCCAGCAAGGAGAAGAATTTGGTCGTTGCTGGAACATCTCAGCTGTATGTCTACAGGATTATCCATGATGTCGAGGTAACTATAGGTCTCATTTTCATTCTGCTCGTTTCATTGTGCCAAGCTTTCAAATACAAAATAGTTCAGCTTTAATGTAACATTTATGTCATTATTTCAGAGTACATCAAAGACCGACAAGTCTTCAGGTATGTCTAAACATCATACCCAACATATATATTGTACCATTAATGAATAAAAACCACCTTAATAAGTGCATTTTTTCACTCGTTCCTCCTCATACAGATGCCAAACCTCGTAAGGAGAAGCTGGAGCAGGTGGCATCCTTTTCTCTCTTCGGAAATATTATGTCTATGGCCAGCGTACAGCTTGTCGGAGCCAACAGAGATGCACTACTGCTCAGTTTTAAAGATGCCAAGGTACCATTGACTAACATGTGGCCTGAAACTGAATCTTAAACAGCCTATAATTGTTATTCACTGACCTGTGGTTGTGTTTGTTTTCTCACCAGTTGTCAGTAGTGGAGTACGACCCCGGGACACATGACCTCAAGTCTCTGTCTCTGCATTACTTTGAAGAACCGGAGCTCAGAGTATGAAACAAAGGCACATAACACATGTGGAAATAGTAGCTCTATCTGACTCATTAAGAGGGGATTAACACGTTTTTATTTGCACTTTCAGGATGGTTTTGTACAGAATGTGCATATTCCCATCGTCCGGGTAGATCCGGAGAATCGCTGCGCTGTAATGCTCGTCTACGGCACCCAGCTGGTGGTGTTACCGTTCAGGAAGGACTCTATCACTGACGAACAGGAGGGCGGAGTTGGAGAAGGGTACGACGTCTCCATCACACTTCTTATTGTTATTTGTGTGGTAGACATCCCAAAATCCTGCACCAAAAATGTTAACATGTTGATTAAGAGAGGTACAAATCGGGAGTTTGGTAACCAAAATCGCAGCAATGGACTCTCCTTGCTCTATTTCTATTCTATTTTATTTGTATTACTTGCACTATTTAAACTATTGTATCCGTTTTATTGTGTTGCACTGTTGGAGGAGCCTGTGACCTCAGATTTTCATTGACATATCTACACTGTAGCTACGTACAAATGACAACAAAAGCCTTGAATTCTTGAATATATTATAAAACTCACACAAGTTTACATTTTTGAAAATATATATTGATTCAAGAATAGTTGAGTAAAAGAAAATAAATAAACACATACGTTTAAATAGATAATAAATAGTTGACTCTCTGTCATAGGTCAACATTTATCTGATTCGTCTCACGTGTACATACGATTACATTTTACGTTAAAGAAAAGTCACACAAATGCTTGTTAATGCTGTCAAATGTATTAGAAAGGAAGACAATTAGAATAGGCAGGTGTGATTATTTCTAAATTCAGAAATCTTTCAAGAAAATGTAAATAGGCGCTTTTCACAGTACTTTTCCCGAAAATGTGCGTTCACACCAACAAAATCCGGAACTAGAACTTAGTTCATGAGAACCTTTCCACCCCCTTTTCAGTCCCTGCTAGAGAGCAGGTACTTTCATGGGAGAAAAAGGTTCCCATTTCTGATTGGCTGGGCGGATTGCAAACCACGCCCCGTAAAACTCCCAAAAAGTTTTGTGAAGCCGCCATTTTATTTGCTGGCATTAGCATTATTAGCATTAGCATTAGCCCAGCGCACCAACGGAGAGGGACTAACTTATGGCAACAGAAAGCGGTGGAGTCTTCCCAGCAGCTTCTACTGAAGCCAGTCCCCAACTCCAGGGACTTACGGCCGGGGACTCCGGGTGGCAGTATACGCCGTGAAGTGGTTTGCGGCCTGCCAGTAAACCCAAAGCAGAAGAAGAAGAAGAAGTGACGTCAGCGGCTTCATTTGACTAATCCTCCCTCAGGGATTTATTCCGGTGTGAACGCGATCTGCTCTTTAGTTCATCAGCACTAAAGAGTTCTGATGAACTAAGTACGGCAAAGTACTTGGTGTGAAAGCGCCTCTTGTGTGTATGTTAAACCGAACCCTACACTTGGTTTGGTTATACCAAAAGTGGGAATCTTACACTGTTCTACCCCTGTTAATTGTAAGAATTTGTAGTTGACTTCATTGTATATCAATGGTAAGAAGAACAACACAAAAAGAATAAGAAAACGGCTATTTAATAAAAAAAAATCCACTTTTATCCTGATGATGATAGCTTGATGTTAGCTCCACCCTGATCGTGGACAGTAATCTAAGTCTAATAACATAACTAGATGTTGTTTAATGCTTACTACACACTACTATGTGTTATTGTCTAACTGCGAGCTCTTCTGTATCTCATCTGCAGTCCTAAATCCAACTTCCTGCCGAGTTACATCATTGACGTCCGTGAGCTGGACGAGAAGCTGCTGAACATCGTCGACATGAAGTTCCTCCACGGATACTACGAGCCGACGCTGCTCATCCTGTTTGAGCCCAGTCAGACATGGCCTGGGTCAGTGCTCCACAACATCAGACATAACAAGCACTGTCTCTTATTAACCAGTAGATATACGTGGAACAACTCCCTTCCCAGTCACATCCGAAAGGCCAAATCTCTCAAAACTCACTTATTCTGTTAAATCTCAAAAGACTATTCTGCACTATATCTATTATATTCTATTTTATTTGTACTACTTGCACTATTTGATCTGTTTTATTGTGTTGCACTGTTGGAGGAGCCTGTGCCCTAAGATTTATATTGTCATAACTACACTGTAGCTATGCACACATGACAATAAAAGCCTTGCATCTATTCACTCTAGCTTTCAAACTCTGATCATCAGAATCAGAAACAGGTTCATTTGAGTTGATGTCATGGTGCATACATCAAATATAAAAAACAAGAAATCTAATATAAAACACAATCTTTTTTACACCGTAATAAAATACAGTTAAATAGCAATAAGATAAATAAAGCAGTAGTTTGCATGGAAATAGAATGCTATGAATTAATTTTTGCATATAAACTAAGAAATGTGAAATCAGAATATGTGCAGAAAGGAGTAGGAACATTGTGTGCATTAAAGGTAGGGGTAGGTAAGTTTGAGAAACCGGCTCGAGATACACTTTTTGTTATATTCCATGGAATGCTCTTAACATCCCGATAGCAATGAATATCTGAAGTGCTTTGACAACAAATCCATAAAGAAATATCATCTGTGGAAGCTGTAGTACTGTAAAAAGCACGACCAATCATCTGAGCCGGCCCGGCTAAAATAACTGGATGGCCTACCTGCCTGTCAGCCTTCCATCTGTGCACAAACTTATCTCGTGCCCTCATTGGTCATGTGCGCGTTCGTGTGTGTTGGAGGAGGGGCTCTGTAAGGAAGTGGCAGATTTTCTCCGGTTGTGTATTTTCAAATTCTAGCGATCTCGAGCTGGTTTCTCAAACTTACCTACCCCACCTTTAATGTAATGCATATAGTCTATAATGTGGCAGAGGTAAAGTATCAGTGGGGGGGCCGGGCCTTGTTTAAGAGCGGTAACCCCCCCCACCCCACTTTACTCGCACTTTGTTAGGACTACTGTCTTTGTACCGTTTCTATTTATGATTTTATGTAAAGTGTCTTTGAGCACCAGGAAAAGCGCTATCAAAATGAAATGTATTATTATTATTATTATTATAAGTTGACCAAGTCTAAATTAAGGTTATTGCAAGTAATGCCTTTATCTCGCTTGACATGTCCATGATTTCTTTTGTACTTTTGTTTCTTAGCATTCAATTGTCATTTCTGTTTTTTGTCAAATCAAATCAAAATCAAATCAAGGAGTAAGCAAGTAATGCCTTTATTTCGCTTAAAATGTCCATCTTTTGGTTTTCTTTGTATTTCTTAGAATACCACTTTTGATTTAATGTTCTCTGATCATTCTTCCAGGCGTGTGGCTGTGCGTCAGGACACCTGCAGCATCGTGGCCATCTCCCTCAACATAATGCAGAAAGTGCATCCTGTCATCTGGTCGCTCAGTAATCTGCCGTTTGACTGCACACAAGTCATGCCTGTTCCCAAACCAATCGGTGAGCTCAGATCAATCTCCCATTTGTAGTTTACTCCTAGTTCAAAGGTCACCTATTATGCAAAATCCACTTGTTCATGTCTCTTCTTCATCAACATGTGTCCCCTCTTCTTCATGTCTCTTCTACATCAACATGTGTCCCCTCTTCTTCATGTCTCTTCTACATCAACATGTGTCCCCTCTTCTTCATGTCTCTTCTACATCAACATGTGTCCCCTCTTCTTCATGTCTCTTCTACATCAAACATGTGTCCCCTCTTCTTCATGTCTCTTCTACATCAACATGTGTCCCCTCTTCTTCATGTCTCTTCTACATCAACATGTGTCCCCTCTTCTTCATGTCTCTTCTACATCAACATGTGTCCCCTCTTCTTCATGTCTCTTCTACATCAACATGTGTCCCCTCTTCTTCATGTCTCTCCTACATACAGTCTAACATGTGTCCCCCTCTTCTTCATGTCTCTTCTACATCAACATGTGTCCCCTCTTCTTCATGTCTCTTCTACATCAACATGTGTCCCCCTCTTCTTCATGTCTCTTCTACAATCAACATGTGTCCCCTCTTCTTCATGTCTCTTCTACATCAACATGTGTCCCCTCTTCTTCATGTCTCTTCTACATCACATGTGTCCCTCTTCTCATGTCTCTTCATAACCATGTGTCCCCTCTCTTCATGTCTCTTCTACATCAACATGTGTCCCCTCTTCTTCATGTCTCTTCTACATCAACATGTGTCCCTTCTTCTTCATGTCTCTTCTACATCAACATGTGTCCCCTCTTCTTCATGTCTCTTCTACATCAACATGTGTCCCCCTCTTCTTCATGGTCTCTTCTTCATCAACATGTGTCCCCTCTTTCATGTCTCTCTTCATCAACATGTGTCCCCTCTTCTTCATGTCTCTTCTACATCAACATGTGTCCCCTCTTCTTCATGTCTCTTCCACATCAACATGTGTCCCCTCTTCTTCATGTCTCTTCTACATCAACATGTGTCCCTACATCAACATGTGTCCCCTCTTCTTCATGGCTCTTCCACATCAACATGTGTCCCCTCTTCGTCTCTTCTTCATGTCTCTTCTTCATCAACATGTGTCCCTCTTCTTCATGTCTCTTCTACATCAACATGTGTCCCCTCTTCTTCATGTCTCTTCTACATCAACATGTGTCCTCCTCTTCTTCATGTCTCTTCTACATCAACATGTGTCCCCTCTTCTTCATGTCTCTTCTACATCAACATGTGTCCCCTCTTCTTCATGTCTCTTCTACATCAACATGTGTCCCTCTTCTTCATGTCTCTTCTACATCAACAGTGTTCCCTCTTCTTCATGTCTCTTCTACATCAACATGTGTCCCCTCTTCTTCATGTCTCTCCTACATCAACATGTGTCCCCTTTCTTCATGTCTCTTCTACATCACCATGTGTCCCCCTCTATCTTACTGTCTCTTCTACATCAACATGTGTCCCCTCTTCTTCATGTCTCTTCTACATCAACATGTGTCCCCTCTTCTTCATGTCTCTTCTACATCAACATGTGTCCCCTCTTCCTCATGTCTCTTCTACATCAACATGTGTCCCCTCTTCTTCACTTCCTCTTCTACATCAACATGTTTCCCCTCTCCTCATGTCTCTTCTACATCAACATGTGTCCCCTCTTCTTCACGTCTCTTCTACATCAACATGTGTCCCCTCTTCTTCATGGCTCTTCCACATCAACATGTGTCCCCTCTTCTTCATGTCTCTTCTACATCAACATGTGTCCCCTCTTCTTCATGTCTCTTCTTCATCAACATGTGTCCCCTCTTCTTCATGTCTCTTCTACATCAACATGTGTCCCCTCTTCTTCATGTCTCTTCTACATCAACATGTGTCCCCTCTTCTTCATGTCTCTTCTACATCAACATGTGTCCCCTCTTCTTCATGTCTCTTCTACATCAACATGTGTCCCCTCTTCTTCATGTCTCTTCTTCATCAACATGTGTCCCCTCTTCTTCATGTCTCTTCTTCATCAACATGTGTCCCCTCTTCTTCATGTCTCTTCTTCATCAACATGTGTCCCCTCTTCTTCATGTCTCTTCTTTCATCAACATGTGTCCCCTCTTCTTCATGTCTCTTCTTCATCAACATGTGTCCCCCTCTTCTCCATGTCTCTTCTACATCAACATGTGTCCCCTCTTCTTCATGTCTCTTCTTCATCAACATGTGTCCCCTCTTCTTCATGTCTCTTCTACATCAACATGTGTCCCCTCTTCTTCATGTCTCTTCTACATCAACATGTGTCCCCTCTTCTTCATGTCTCTTCCACATCAACATGTGTCCCCTCTTCTTCATGTCTCTTCTACATCAACATGTGTCCCCTCTTCTTCATGTCTCTTCTACATCAACATGTGTCCCCTCTTCTTCATGTCTCTTCCACATCAACATGTGTCCCCTCTTCTTCATGTCTCTTCTACATCAACATGTGTCCCCTCTTCTTCATGTCTCTTCTACATCAACATGTGTCCCCTCTTCTTCATGTCTCTTCCACATCAACATGTGTCCCCTCTTCTTCATGTCTCTTCTACATCAACATGTGTCCCCTCTTCTTCATGTCTCTTCTACATCAACATGTGTCCCCTCTTCTTCATGTCTCTTCCACATCAACATGTGTCCCCTCTTCTTCATGTCTCTTCTTCATCAACATGTGTCCCCCTCTTCTTCATGTCTCTTCCACATCAACATGTGTCCCCTCTTCTTCATGTCTCTTCTACATCAACATGTGTCCCCTCTTCTTCATGTCTCTTCTACATCAACATGTGTCCCCTCTTCTTCATGTCTCTTCTTCATCAACATGTGTCCCCTCTTCTTCATGTCTCTTCTTCATCAACATGTGTCCCCTCTGTGGAAAGAGACTCTGAAAGTTTCAGGAACAAAGATTCTCTCTCTTTTTGATCCATTTCTATAAAAACCTGTTTGAAAATGAGCTGATCAGATTTTGGCCACTTTGTGATGTCATAACGATGTTTTGTCTTGTGTAACCATTAGCCAATCAGCAACCAAGGTAACCCCCCCCCCACCTTATCACCTGAATCTCCTCCTAGAGCACCATTGAGTTCTTTGTAACCAAATCTCTCTCAGAGGGGCGTGGGGAGGGGCTCCTTATTTTCATCTAAAGTAACAGACAGAGAATCAGCACTTTTGGAAACAGGGCTGAAACAGAGGGGATTATGGGTAATGCTGCAATGATCTGTTTGGTGTTTCAGCCAATCAGAGACAGGTTCTGTATATATCTGAGACCTATAATATATTGATGAACAACAGTATAACAGGGGACCTTTAAAATAAGACTGTGATAAACTGTGTTGCGGCGTTAGCTTCTTTGCTAACATTGAATGTTCTTCTTGTAGGTGGTGTGGTGGTGTTTGCTGTGAATTCCTTGCTGTATCTGAACCAGAGTGTTCCTCCTTATGGAGTTTCTCTCAACTCTCAAACTAATGGAACCACAGCATTTCCTCTGCGTAAGTATTATCAGCTGAAAAACACAACTATGTAAATACAGTTATCATGTTCATACAAATGCACAACTTGTTACTGTGATATCTTGTTCTAATAGTTACTTATCACTTCATGTTTGCCCTGTGTGTATCCTGTTTTTCATTCTGACGCTGTTACTGCTATACGATACGATACGATATACTTTATTGTCCCCGTAAGGAAATTTGTTCTAGACTCCGTCCTGCAGTGCATCCATGTACATATACAAACATAGTGGACATTAAGAGACATATCATCAGTCATATACCGTTTGAACAAACACAATACACACACGTACATACTGACAATGGCGACCTATTGCACAACCCTCATGGCCAACATTAAAAAAAAAAAAAAAAAGTACATTTCATTACATTTGACTACATATCATTTCATGTGAATGTTAAGAATCTTAATCGACATAGGTAGGAATGAGTGCTTATAGCGGTTCAGCCTGCTCCTGGGAACCCTGAATCTTCTACCAGAAGGTAGGAGCTGGAATTCTGGGTGGAGTATGTGGACACAATTTTTTTTGCCTGTCTGATAATGGACTGCTCGTATATGTTTTGGTATTTGCTATTAACGCCTGCATTTCCCCCAAGGGGATAAATAAAGTTCCATCTTATCTTAACTCTACCTGTATCTCTGATATCTGGCCTCATTACTTTTACATATAATTAGACATTCTGCTGTCCTCATCCCTTTGGTTTGTGTTTTGTGTCCCCAGGTGTTCAGGAGGAAGTGAAGATCTCACTCGACTGCTCTCAGTCTGACTTCATCGCCTATGACAAGATGGTCATCTCTTTGAAAGGAGGAGAAATGTAAGTCATTGTAATCCCCGACAGAATCTACATAAACACTGATGGCAGTTTAATGATTCTTCACTGACTTGTTGTTGTTGTTGTTGTTGTTTTGCAGTTACGTGTTGACTCTTATAACTGACGGCATGAGGAGTGTCCGCGCTTTCCACTTCGACAAAGCTGCTGCCAGCGTCCTGACAACCTGCGTAAGTTCTGGAAGTCTTAAAGGGATACTTGGGTTATTAAACGGTTGGTTATTTTATGTAGTTGGTGTCTAACCTACAGTTCATGGCGGTCCCCAGTTTTCGAGAAACAGACAGGAGTTATAGCACAGAAGCAAATCAATGCACTTTTCAAGCCAGGCTTATATAACTTAATAACTTAAAGAGTAATTGTACGGTTAAAAACTGTTCCTCAACGGCGTCTTTCTGCCCATCACTGTCACTTTAGAGGAGGCGCCGTGGGAATTGTAGTCTTTTATAGTGTGTTGACTACAGACGTCACAATTAGGTGGCCTTTCTGATAAAAGATAATACTGGCTCTAATGGCACATTTCCACTGCAGGGCCTCGCACGGCTTAGTACGGTATAGTTAGGCCTTGGTAGGCCAGGCTCACTTTATGCTGCGTTTCCATTACAGTTTAGTAGCTGGGGTAGTATCTATAGTAACGCAGTGTAGGCGGAGCCGTGACGTCATCTTCAATGCGAAACACACAAAACCAACATCAGCCGTTAGCTGTTAGCACTCAGAGCTCACAGCTCCTCATATCTGTTCAGAAACTAGACAAAAGTTAAACAAGTACAAACCACAGACTGCCTGTGTCATGGTGAATACAGTCGCTGCTTTATTTATGTCTGTATAGGCCGTTGTTGTGAGTGTGGACGGTCGGAGCATATACTGCGTTAGCTTAGCCGATCTCCATTTAGAAAACACGCATTTCAAAAGGTTTTTCGCCTGCCGTCTGTCTGCAGACTTGACAAAGCATTAATTCATGGTTGTTACTAACCGGTATCAGTATGTTGTTACTTCGGCATCATTTTGAAACGTGTATTACAATTAAATCACGGTCAAATGTGTTCATTTTGTTGTAGTTGCCAGCGATTCTCTCACTAGTTTAGCATACTCAGCCCGGTTGTTGGCCCGGAAAGAACCTCGATTTTGGAGAGCCAGAAAACTGTGAAAAGGTACCCGTTAGCCGGAACTACGCCTAGTGGAAACGCAACACAAAACGGGCCGGGTTTGGCACGGCACGCTTAAACCGTGCTACGCGCTGCAGTGGAAATGCGCCAAAAGACACTGCTTTTAATGAGGGCAGCAAAACACATTTTTGCCAACTTAAAGGAAGGCCCCCCTAAAACATTCATATCACTTAATATATACTCTTTATTTAGACATTAACACAATAAAAGCCAACAGTGGAAACTAACACTAGCACTTTAGGATTCAATTCTACAGAAATGAACATGTTAAACCCCAAATATGTATTGCCTATGAAATGAAACCACTAACCCTAAAAGCATCATACCTACCTAAACCCATAGCTATTATTTTATATCTGGCTGATATTTTATGGGTGTTTATTTGATAATGAATATCTAAAAGTCTGCCAGCGATCAGGGGTTTTCAAATGAAACGAAATGCCTCTCACACTCATGTCCGTCCTCCTCCAGATGGTGACCATGGAGGCCGGCTACCTTTTCCTGGGTTCCCGCCTCGGAAACTCTCTGCTCCTAAAGTACACCGAAAAACTTCAGGACACGCCACCTGAGGAGGGCGACGAGGATCAGGACAAAGAGAAGGATAAAGAGAAACCGGTACGTTTGTAATTGCGTAGAATATGGTTTAAATGCAGCCTTTTGTTGTGAAGCACCATCGAAGTGCGTATGTTGTTGCAGAATGAATTAAAAGGTGTTTCGTTGCATTTTATTTTACCGTCTTAAACATAGCCTATAAACTATATATTTCTTTTTGAATTCCAGGAAGAACCACCGAGCAAAAAGAAGCGAGTAGAATCTTCCGCCAACTGGACAGGTATGTTTAAATCTGATATGTAAACATGATGTAGGCACAATGTTATTACAGAAAAACAACTAGGTCAAGAATCAGACAAAAGATCTGCACACTGTGTTCGTCAAAATCGATTAATATTCGCCAGGGCTGTCCGATTTTCGATTTTGATCATGGTCAGTTTCTGGCATCCCTAATAGGGAGGCATGTGGCGCAGTGAAATAGTGCGTCGGTGTTCGGATCAGGGGAGCACAGGTTCAAACCCCACAGCAGTCAGCATGTCGTTGTGTCCCTGAGACACTTCACCCCAAATTGCTCCTGTGGGGATTGTCCACAGTATTGAGTATGTAAGTCGCTTTGGATAAAAGCGTCTAACAAGTAACATGTAATGTAACATGTAATGTAAAATATACAAATATGTATATACCTATATATACACAATCAACCGACACATTTATACATATGCACATTAAGACTCTAGATCAGCGGTTCCCAACCTTTTTCAACTCAGGGCCCACTTAAGAATCTAAAAAATTTTCGCGGCCCACATTCAACCATAAACAATACGGAGGCTAAATAAAGTTCTCTCAGAGTACTTTTTATTTTAATTAGAAAAAGGAGCTGGCCATCAGTAACAAACAGACATTTGTATTACACGGTTTAGTTGAATACTTGATTCTGATTGGTCAATTCAGAACATGTGACACGTTGTTAATCCAGTAGTACAGACCGCTGTCAAGGACTGTGATGACAGTTGCTAAGGAGGATCGAGAAAGAGAAAGGAAAAGAGGTTGAAATAATAAAAAATCCACACAAATCATAATAGGCGCTTTCACACTGGAGTGCTTTTCCCAGGAATAGTTCCGATAGTTCCTGGGATTTTGCGTTCACACCAAGAAGATCTGGAACTAGAACTTTTTTTCGGGAACCTTTCCCCCCTTTTTTAGTCCCTACTAGAGAGGTGGGACTTTCCTGGGGACTTTTTCTGATTGGCTGGGCATACCCAAATCTCTAAAAAAGGGGCTGCAACGGATCTGATAAAAACTGATCCAGATTTGAACACTTCTATGTCGTCACAGAAGTGGCGCTACGGCTATTGGGCCAACTCTCCACCTATCAGGGGAATGTGGGGTTGGGCCACGGCCGGCCATTGCCGCTCGAAAGCGCTGGAGACGCTGTAGTACATATGCCAGGCCTGTAAGTGGCGCTGTAGTCTGCCACAAAAGCAGCGAAGAAGACTTCCCGCGCATGGTTGCCATGGTTACCCTTCTGTTTATTCTCCGCTGTGGCTTTCTTTCTCCCTCCCCGAGGCAAGCGTTTGCTCCCGCTGCTTTAATTCAATGCAATCCCTCCCCGTCGAGGCAAGCACTGTAATTCTCTCCGGTTAGTCCACCAGCAGATGACAAACACCCACCTCTCCGCCTCTTCCAAGGAACGAGGGGACCGTGCGGCAGAGTTTCAGTTTCAGTTTATTTCGCCGGTCAAGATGTCCGTTAAAGTTTAAATCTTCCGGACAAAATTAGAAAAGTGCCGGTCAAAGGTCTTCTTTGTTATTTATTGAGCTTTAAAATGAATAACGACTCTATATAATAAAACACGGAGGACGGAGATCTCTTTTTCTCCCCCTCTTCTGACTTGATCAGAGCACGCTCCCCTCTCCTGCAGGGGGGCGTGGTCAGCTGCAGCTCACAGAATCAGCCCCCTGCAAAAACAGGGCTGGAGAACAGCAAATAGAGCGAAATGAGGCATGGCTAAAATGCATGATCTGTTTGGTATTTTGAAAACAGAAACAAATAAATATACCTTATATAGGTATGGCCCTACAATATATCATTTAAATATAGCATGATAGGTGCCCTTTAAGTTGAGAGCTCCCAGCTATTTTAGTCTTGCAACATTTTGATCTGAAAGAGATGTGTGTTTAATTTGTGTTTCACTCTTGTTTTGTCAGATGAGGTGGATGAGATAGAAGTGTATGGAAGCGAGGCCCAGTCAGGCACTCAGCTGGCCACCTACTCCTTTGAGGTAAACAAAAACATCCCAAAGTATTGTTTTTGTATGTAAATTCTGTTCTTTTATAAATGTGACTTATTGTCTGTGTGTTCATACAGGTGTGTGACAGCATACTGAACATTGGACCGTGTGTGAACGCCTCCATGGGGGAACCTGCCTTCTTATCTGAAGAGGTACGAGAATCATAATAGGGCTGCATAATATGTTGACATTTCTAAACGTTTATTTCTTGTTTTGTACAATGCCATGTCTTTGTATGCTGCTGCAACACAAACATTTCCCAACTTGGGATCAATAAAGTACTTCTTATCTTATCTTATATGGAAAAATAACACATTTCGATATGATTCATGATATGGGACATCAACCCTAACCCTCATTATTATTTGTATTAAATAAATATGTCAAATGATCATGGCGTTATTAGTTAAATAGATAGATAAATGTAGGATCTGTACCATGTTTTGTTAAGTCAGCAGTATATGGGATATCTCTGCAGCTCCACAAAATTTTATTTAAATAATATTTAAACACATATATTTGGCTTTTAAAGATATTGTGCTTTCTGCAATTTACTCAGATGTACTAGTCAATATTATTATTTAGCAGCCCTAGATTGTTATACTTTCTAGTATCTCTGTAAATGTGTCGGTTACTTTCTTAAGAATAGTATTTTTGGAGTTTTCTGACGTGCATCTAATCTCACACACAGTTCACACAACTTTATTTAAGATAATATCCAAACACATTATTTCTGAAATGTGGTCATGCACTGCCAGTAAGCCTCATACACACGATTATTTATCAGGAACATTGTAAGATGAATATATATGCGTGTAATACATATGCATAAACATGCAGCAAATACCTATACTAATACAAATCTACTGTATACATACACACATGCTTCCTGAAATGTGTATTTCTGACATGCATCTAATATCACACACAGTTCCAAAACAATCCCGAGCCTGACCTGGAGGTGGTGGTTTGCTCCGGATACGGAAAGAACGGCGCACTGTCCGTCCTTCAGGTAAATCCTCCCACTTGTGTTGTTTAATTGCATGAGTAACTGATGAGGAATGTGCATGATAAATGTCACAGCACCATCCTAAACCCTGTGGTGGTGAGGGCCGTCTGCCTCAGGTCCAGAGAAGGTGCTAAAAGTGAAGTCTGGGTCTACCACAGCTGCCTCAGAGATCGAAGGAGTGGCCTGTAAACACCCCAGACACAAGCTCACAGTTCTTGTGTTATTTGTAGTGCCAGCATGTCGTGGCAAATACTGTAAATATATAGAGTGCCACAGTGACGCGTCCTAAAACCCATAAGTAAAGTCCTTCCGGTTCCCTCGACAAAAACGCAATGCAATCTCTCCATAGGATTTAGGAAAATAGCTGGAAATAAGGTCTGTGGTTGAGACACATTCAAGAGACGGATCACGTTTTGTTCAGCCGGATAATCTCCACATGTCTACCCTACTTTTATAATTTTCGAATCATAAATCTAGTCGCCAGAAGCAAAATGCTAACGTTATGCTATAAACGAACTACAGCAGGGTCGCTGCTTCAACGTCACGCCAACTTAAGATCCATATTCAAACACACAGATTCTAAATGGTACGAGTTGAAGCGTTTGTTTGAACAGTTTGCAGGAGGCAGGTACTTGCTTTCAAGCAGAACAGGGCAAACACACTTAGAGGAGTGTTTACGTGTTCGGCGTAATGACGTACAACGGCCTCGACAACTTCTGTAGTCCTATTCAGCCACTTGGTAACAACCATCGTTTTTCAGACACGTCAACTCTTCAGAAATCACCAGTGGGGTCACTGCTGATGGATTTAATGTCCTAGAACAAAACGTGATCCGTGTCTTCAATGTGTCTCAACCACAGACCTTAGTTCCAGATATTTCCCTAAATCCTATGGAGAGATTGCATTGCTTTTTGTCGAAGGAACCGGAAGTGGTAACATGCTAACTTACTTCCGGGTTTTAGGACGCGTCACTGTGGCACTCTATAGTGTTGGAAGCCTGGAAGTGTACAAAGGGACAGTTTCATCCCACAGGCCATAAGACTGTTAAACACCTGAACTTTTGAAAGAACATCCATTCTGTTTGCAACTTATATATATATCAATATTCCAATTACGGAAATGTACGGTGTATTGCCTCTGATTTTGAGTTGCTAATACGTTTCCTTTCTGTTCTCAGAGAAGCATCCGACCCCAGGTAGTCACTACGTTTGAGTTGCCAGGATGCCACGACATGTGGACGGTCATCTCCAATGAAGTCAAAGCTGAAGACAAAAAGGTACTTTGTGTTTCTTTTTAATCTTTGTTTATTGGGTTTTTTCAACAGCATACAGTTATTCTATCAGGGCATGTATCACAAGAAGGTAAACAAATCTTCACTTTATAGAAAAATAGGTAGAGTAACAATGTAAATACTGCTTAACACCAGAGGCCTGTATGACGAAGCCGGTTCAACAGACCCTGGATATGTTTGAGTTACCCGGCTTAGCTAACCCAAAACAAACGCGCTCTCGCTAAGCGGTCCTACGTCGCTGGTTATCAACTCGGTAACTCAAGCCAGGGTTTCTCTGTCCGGCTGAGTGCGCGTTCACATGAAAGGGGCGGGGTTAGCAACATTTGACCAATCACAAACATGGAGAAGCGTACTGACAGCGCAGCGTACTTCCTGAAAGTGAACTATAATATTAGACAAATATGAAGACATCCATGACTTAAATCCAGGATCAAAGCCACATAGCTGCACCTGCAAGGTGAATACAGCTGGTAAAAGAAAAAGCGTTTGAATGCGTACATTAAAGGTAGGGTAGGTAATTTTGGAGAAACCAGCTTGAGTGCGCTAGAATTTGAAAATACACAGCCGGAAAAAATCTGCCACTTCCTTACAGAGCCCCTCCTCCAACACACACGAACGCGCACATGACCAATGAGGGCACGAGATAAGTTTGTGCACAGATGGAAGGCTGACAGGCAGGTAGGCCATCCAGTTACTTTAGCCGGGCCGGCTCAGATGATTGGTCGTGCTTTTTACAGTACTACAGCTTCCACAGATGATATTTCTTTATGGATTTGTTGTCAAAGCACTTCAGATATTCATTGCTATCGGGATGTTAAGAGCATTCCATGGAATATAACAAAAAGTGTATCTCGAGCCGGTTTCTCAAAATTACCTACCCTACCTTTAACAGGTTTATGAAATCACTGCCCCGTCTAAGACACGAGTGGATCTGACTTTAATTACATTTGACTCGAGTGTTTCATCAACTTAATGTGTTGCTTAAATAATACTTCTGCATCCAGTATGTGACACTGTGAGTGTTGCACGGCCAGATACGGCTCAGCTGACTCAGATAAGGAAATATATGATACATTATGATGTGATATGATATGAATGATAATGGGACACATCGCCGTCTGCACTCACAGTGCCGCAGACTGTACGTAATGTTACTCTGATCCGGTTACTTATGTTGTGGCAGATATTTAAGTAAGCTTTCTTAACGCTAATGTTATAATAGTCAGATTGCTCTGAAGATGGGAGGGGATATTCTATTCATTTCACGTTCACACAGTCTGTGATTTGTGCCGGCCGTCTTTCCTGCAACGGCAGTTTTTCTGTATTTCCTTTCTCCTGTAATATGACTTGATTGCTTTAAACTCTGCACACTGAGCTCTGATTGGTCAGCAGGCGGTGCTTTCACTGAGTTGATCTCTTAGCCTGCCACCTAACCTGCTCCGGACCAGGTTAGCCGTTCAGCATAAGTTACCATGGAGATCTAGCCTGCTAAAAAGAGAACCAGCGTCGAGGACCGGAAAGCCAGAGTTTTCCCTGAAGTTAGCTCGCTAAATAAAATAAATTAAATAAATTAAATAAATTAAATAAATTAAATAAATTAAATTAAATAAATAACCAGTCAGCTAAAACAAAAATGTCAATAATAAGCAATAAATGTCAGTACGGCAGCACCTCCTCCCTGCGAAAACCCGCCCAGTGTCCTCCAAAATGCAAAAGTTGAATCAGGAGTGACATTTTTAAAAAGGGCCCCATATTTTCTATTGTATTTTATTGTGTTTCTGCCTAATAACCTTTAGCTGCTGCCTTCCATCAAATCAAATAACTCTCTCTTTAGACTGCCTCTTGTTTATTTTAACGTGTGCCCAATCCTGTAGTGTGTTATAAAGGTTTGTGTGCATGTAAATGGTCTGCAGAGGCTAAAATCCCTGTGTTTCTCCAGAGAGAGTTTCTATTCCACACAAGTTAGATGTTCCTCGTTCCTTTCACAGGCTGCAAAAAGTGACGATTCAGAGGACGGCGGTGCGGAGACCGGTGAGGACGGAGAAGATGGAGAGAAGGAGGAGAAGGAGAAAGAGAAACAGGAGGAGGAGAAGACTGAGCCTCCTATAGAAGACGATAAGAAGAAACACGGCTTCCTCATTCTGAGCAGAGAGGATTCAACCATGGTACAAACACACGTCTGATGTCCAGGGACTTTAGATTTCAACAAATAGAAGATTAATAGAAAAACAAAACTAGGGATGCTCCGATCGATCGGCCGATATTCACTCTCTACCGATCGATCGGTGCTCTCTAAAATGCCGATCGTGAGAGCCGATCACATGACGTAAAATACATGACACTTTTCTCTGTGCGCGGCAAAACGGCTTCACCAGTCTGGCAGTATTTTAACGTGTCCGAAAAAGACAATAAAATAGCGGTATGCAACGTGTGTGAAGCAGAAATCCTGCAGCTCCACCCGCTGTGACGGACCGGTGAGCGGAGCAACACACACTAATGGCGCGTTTCCACTACACAGCCTCGCTCGGTATGGCTGGGCCTCGTTAGGACTGGCTCACTTTATGGCGCATTTCCATTACAGTTTAGGAACTGGGGCAGTATCTATAGTAACGCAGTGTAGGCGGAGCCGTGACGTGATCTTCAGAGGACCCCAGAAAAACAACACAGCCGTTAGCTGTTAGCACTCAGAGCTCACAGCTCCTCATATCTGTTCAGAAACTAGACAAAAGTGAAACAAGTACAAACCACAGACTGCCTGTGTCATGGTGAATACAGTCGCTGGTTTATTTATGTCTGTAGGCCGTTGTTGTGAGTGTGGACGGTCGGAGCATATACTGCGTTAGCTTAGCCAATCTCCATTCAGAAAACACGCATTTTAAAAGGTGTTTCGCCTGCCGTCTGTCTGCAGACTTGTCAAAGCATTAATTCATGGTTTTTACTAACCGGTATCAGTATGTTGTTACTTCGGCATCATTTGAAACGTGTATTACAATTAAATCACGGTCAAATATGTCCATCTTGTTGTAGTTGTAGCCCCCTTGCCAGCGATGCTCTCTCTAGTTTAGCATACTCAGCCCGACTCAGCCTCGTTGTCTCTGGCCCTAGAACCACGATTTTATGAGGCCAGAAAAACTGTGAATTAGGACCCGCCGGCCGGTACTAGGCCAAGTGGAAACGCAACCAAAGACGGGCCGCTGACGTCACAGCCCTCTTAAACCGTGCTCCGCGCTGTAGTGGAAACGCGCCATAAGAGATAGACCTAACACACTTAGCTATTTTATCTACCTCTGGAACTAGCTAAACTAGTTATACATATATTTATTCTTCACTGTAGGGTCACTCATTACTGGATCAGTGAGCTGCATGAGACGATACTGAGAGAGAGAGAGAGAGAGAGAGAGACCGCTCGCTCATTTCTCCCGTGTTATTATCCAAAGTTAATGTAAACTTGAATAATGTACTTCATTTGAATGTAATAATTAAGTTGATTGTTGTTTGTGGAAGCGCCAGAGAATGAGCATTAAACATCACTTTAAATGGAAGATTTAAAGTGATGTTTAAATCTTCCATTTAGGCCCCGCCCACTCGATCGGATCGGCGATCGGTATCGGCCGATACTGATTCCGGCGATCGGCCCCAAAATTGGCGATCGGAGCATCCCTAAACAAACCCTGTATATGATGTTATTTAGTTGTGATGTGGTGTTAATGGTCTGTGTGTAGATCCTGCAGACGGGGCAGGAGATCATGGAGCTGGACACCAGTGGTTTTGCTACCCAGGGTCCAACTGTGTTTGCTGGAAACATCGGTGACAACAAGTACATCATCCAAGTCTCTCCCATGGGTATTCGACTGCTGGAAGGAGGTACAAATAACGTCTATTCATTCTGTTTGAATCCAGTATTTGAGTCCTGTAGTCCATGTTTTGTATTTATTAAAATTCTGTTAGTAGAATTAGCATTAGCATGATGATGCAAACATGTCAAATTGACATTATTATGGCAAGTTTATTTATATAACATTTTTCAACACAAGGCAATTCAACGTGCTTTACAAAAATGAAAGATATTAAGAGCATAAAACACGTTAGAAACATTAAAAAGCAAAGATAATAAAACAGGAATAACTCAGGTACATGAATACAAGTTACAGTGCAGTGTGAGATGTGAATAGTTCAATTAAAAGCAAAAAGAAAAGTCTTCAGCCTGGATTTAAAAGTAGTCAGAGTTGCAGCGGACCTGCAGGTTTCTGGGAGTTTGTTCCAGATATTTGGAAATATCCCTCACCAGATTCTCACATTCCTCTACCCCTAGTCTTCCAGTGAAATTATAGTTATTTTGACAGTTTTCTAACCTTTTTATATTCCTTTCAAACTTCTCTTTCATCCATTTTGCATCCCCAGACAACACATTTCCCGTTTTACTGTTACCTGAAACCATCTTTGACCTTTAACCCTTATGTTGTGTTGGGGTCTCCCGTGACCCGTTTCAAGTTAAAATTATATAATAACTACGCTCTAGTTTTTTTGTATGGGAACAAGGCTTCATGATATCCTCTAACAGATATGTAAACACTACAAAACTGATTTTGACCATTTTAGCCAAGTCTGAAGGTCTCTAAAAAAAAAAGTGTATAATTTGCTGTTGGGGTCTGGGGAGACCCAGCTGAATTGTTTTGGGTCACTCGAGGTCAAATTTGGCCCAATCAAGATTCATCTTTGACTTTAGACGCCCCTCCCCCACCCCTTCATCAACTGTAACAATAATTTTTCGCAACATGCACCTGGTCTCCCCTCCCTCTGCCCCCCTCCCCCCACGAGAACTCCACCTTTCTCAAAGAACATGTACACTAATACTTGAACCTGAACACACACATGCACGTGTGCAATATGTGGTGTAATGTGTTTTGGGCCATAACATTAAATTAAAACAGGATTGTACGGTTATGAATGCATAATAAGTTAGTTATGATGTAGTTAAAACAATATTGGATGATAGTCATTATTTTTGTGTGTTTTGGACTGAGATAAATCATGGGTCAAATTGACCCGCGAAGACCATGAACGGTAACAGCTTTTGAACACAACACAAGGGTTACACCACTTTTCAATTCCCAGATTTAGGATATTTAAACTCTGCTTTAAGACATGTTTTCAACCTGTTTCACTGACCTGCTCTCTCTGTGTCTTCCCTCAGTGACACAGCTCCACTTCATCCCTGTGGATTTGGGATCCCCCATAGTGCATTGCTCCGTGGCGGACCCTTACGTCGTCATCATGACCGCAGAGGGAGTCGTCACCATGTTTGCTCTGAAGACCGACTCCTACATGGGGAAAACTCACAGGCTGTCGCTGCAGAAACCACAGATCCCCACCGTGAGTCAACCCTCCTCCTCAGCAGACCTTTAAAGAGGCATTTCATATTAAAAATATACAAAATAATAATACACCTGGAGTCTCTGGTACTCTAGTTTAAGTAGAGTCACTCTGGAAGATTCAGATCCTTAACTTAAGTAAAAGTAGGATTACTGCAGTCTAGAAATACTCAGAGCTGATCCAGGTTTGCGTCCGATATGACGTAATATCTGAAATGTGGACCCACGGCCCTATCAGAAACGTTGCTATCAGAAACAATGCCCGACTGTTTTGGACGTAATATGGTCGGTGTTTACATTAGCATCGCTAACACTCAGAGCTAACCTGTACTGGAGAGCATGTGTGTGAAGAAGCAGGAAATAAAAAGGAACTCACCTTGTGGTATAACCGGCAAGAGAGAAAGCCTTTGAGCTCCATACTGTTTCAGAGATAATCCTTGATAATCCATGATATGGCGTTTCATCACGGCAGTATTTAGTTTAGACAGTAGCTGCCGGGTCCCGCATGAGCTCAGCCCCCTCCTTTTATTAAAGCTTTATACCCCAAATCAGCACTTTTCAAACAGGAAGTGAAATAGAGGGATATGAGGCATGGCTAGAATGGGTGATCTGTTTGGTATTTTGAGCAAAACACTTCATAGACATGTTTTTTATATATTTGTATAAATCTGAGACCTATGCTATTGCCTAAAAATAGCATGATAGGTGACCTTTAATGTTAAATCGTTTTTAAGATATTTTCTTTTTAGTAATCGCTAAAAAATTGTATCCTTCCTCCAACTTATTTCTTCATACTGTGTGTAAGTTTGCACCACTAAAGCAAATTGTATGTGTAAGCCTATTTATCATTAAACCTGATTCTGATTAGAAACTTTAATTAACCTGTTTAAAACCACGTCTAATTGAACAGCAATCCCGCGTGGTCACGCTGTGTGCGTACCGAGACGTCAGTGGCATGTTCACCACGGAAAACAGAGCGAACTCCTCCGTCCAAAAAGAGGACGCCATCACTGGGAATCAGTCCGAGGAAGAGACCATCATCCATGACCTCAGGTAAGAGCATCACCTCCGCACTGACACGTACAACCAGTCGCCACCTGTGCAGTTTATTTACGGTGTTAAAGGTCACCTATTGTGCAAAATCCACTTGTTCATGTCTCTTCTACATCAACATGTGTCCCCTCTTCTTCATGTCTCTTCTTCATCAACATGTGTCCCCTCTTCTTCATGTCTCTTCTACATCAACATGTGTCCCCTCTTCTTCATGTCTCTTCTACATCAACATGTGTCCCCTCTTCTCCATGTCTCTTCTACATCAACATGTGTCCCCTCTTCTTCATGTCTCTTCTACATCAACATGTGTCCCCTCTTCTCCATGTCTCTTCTTCATCAACATGTGTCCCCTCTTCTTCATGTCTCTTCTACATCAACATGTGTCCCCTCTTCTTCATGTCTCTTCTACATCAACATGTGTCCCCTCTTCTTCATGTCTCTTCTACATCAACATGTGTCCCCTCTTCTTCATGTCTCTTCTACATCAACATGTGTCCCCTCTTCTCCATGTCTCTTCTACATCAACATGTGTCCCCTCTTCTCCATGTCTCTTCTACATCAACATGTGTCCCCTCTTCTTCATGTCTCTTCTTCATCAACATGTGTCCCCTCTTCTTCATGTCTCTTCTACATCAACATGTGTCCCCTCTTCTTCATGTCTCTTCTACATCAACATGTGTCCCCTCTTCTCCATGTCTCTTCTACATCAACATGTGTCCCCTCTTCTTCATGTCTCTTCTACATCAACATGTGTCCCCTCTTCTCCATGTCTCTTCTACATCAACATGTGTCCCCTCTTCTCCATGTCTCTTCTACATCAACATGTGTCCCCTCTTCTCCATGTCTCTTCTACATCAACATGTGTCCCCTCTTCTTCATGTCTCTTCTACATCAACATGTGTCCCCTCTTCTCCATGTCTCTTCTACATCAACATGTGTCCCCTCTTCTCCATGTCTCTTCTACATCAACATGTGTCCCCTCTTCTTCATGTCTCTTCTACATCAACATGTGTCCCCTCTTCTTCATGTCTCTTCTACATCAACATGTGTCCCCTCTTCTTCATGTCTCTTCTACATCAACATGTGTCCCCTCTTCTCTGTCTCTTCTACATCAACATGGTCCCTCTTCTCCATGTCTCTTCTACATCAACATGTGTCCCCTCTTCTCCATGTCTCTTCTACATCAACATGTGTCCCCTCTTCTTCATGTCTCTTCCAGATCAACATGTGTCCCCTCTTCTTCATGTCTCTTCTACATCAACATGTGTCCCCTCTTCTTCATGTCTCTTCTACATCAACATGTGTCCCCTCTTCTTCATGTCTCTTCTACATCAACATGTGTCCCCTCTTCTTCATGTCTCTTCTACATCAACATGTGTCCCCTCTTCTTCATGTCTCTTCTTCATCAACATGTGTCCCCTCTTCTTCATGTCTCTTCTACATCAACATGTGTCCCCTCTTCTTCATGTCTCTTCTACATCAACATGTGTCCCCTCTTCTTCATGTCTCTTCTTCATCAACATGTCCCCTCTTCTTCATGTCTCTTCTACATCAACATTGTGTCCCCCTCTTCTTCATGTCTCTTCTTCATCAACATGTGTCCCCTCTTCTTCATGTCTCTTCTACATCAACATGTGTCCCCTCTTCTTCATGTCTCTTCTACATCAACATGTGTCCCCTCTTCTTCATGTCTCTTCTACATCAACATGTGTCCCCTCTTCTTCATGTCTCTTCTTCATCAACATGTGTCCCCTCTTCTTCATGTCTCTTCTTCATCAACATGTGTCCCCCCTTCTTCATGTCTCTTCTACATCAACATGTGTCCCCTCTTCTTCATGTCTCTTCTACATCAACATGTGTCCCCTCTTCTTCATGTCTCTTCTACATCAACATGTGTCCCCTCTTCTTCATGTCTCTTCTACATCAACATGTGTCCCCTCTTCTTCATGTCTCTTCTTCATCAACATGTGTCCCCTCTTCTTCATGTCTCTTCTACATCAACATGTGTCCCCTCTTCTTCATGTCTCTTCTACATCAACATGTGTCCCCTCTTCTTCATGTCTCTTCTACATCAACATGTGTCCCCTCTTCTTCATGTCTCTTCTACATCAACATGTGTCCCCTCTTCTTCATGTCTCTTCTTCATCAACATGTGTCCCCTCTGTGGAAAGAGACTCTGAAAGTTTCAGGAACAAAGATTCTCTCTCTTTTTGATCCATTTTGATAAAAACCTGTCTGAAAATGAGCTGATCAGATTTTGGCCACTTTATGATGTCATAACAATGTTTTGTCTTGTGTAACCATTAGCCAATCAGCAACCAAGGTAACCCCCCCCCCCCCACCTTATCACCTGAATCTCCTCCTAGAGCACCATTGAGTTCTTTGTAACCAAATCTCTCTCAGAGGGGCGTGGGGAGGGCTCCTTATTTTCATCTAAAGTAACAGACAGAGAATCAGCACTTTGGAAACAGGGCTGAAACAGAGGGGATTATGGGTAATGCTGCAATGATCTCTTTGGTGTTTCAGCCAATCAGAGACAGGTTCTGTATATATCTGAGACCTGTGATATATTGATTAAGAGCAGTATAATAGGGGACCTTTAAATGTTTGCGTCTACAGTAGCAACTTAGTGGATGACGAGGAGGAGATGCTGTACGGAGACTCAAACGCCAGCGCTGCGCATGGAAGAGATGAAATGGGACGCAGCTACGGGATTCACGGGATTTATGGAAGCGACGGACAAGGAAAAGCAGAACCGAGCCACTGGTGCTTCATCTGCAGGGAGAATGGAGTGATGGAGGTACGAGGAATATGATGCATATTAAGAATATATGTGACCTGCTTTATCAAAATCAAATGGATGCAGAGAGACTTATTTTGAGTCAAATGTGGATTTATGTTTAAAAAAATGCAGTTTTGTGGGTCTTTGGTTGATTTTAAACAAACAGGTAAACAAACCTTGGCTTTTCTTTTGAATATGAATCTGTTAACGCCATATTCAGATGTTATTTATACATTTTTAAGCTTGCAAAGACAGAATGGCAAGATCCGAATTAGCCGCTCAGCCACCTTTCGATACGTCTCACTGAAATGATAAATGACAGGCTAATTATAGAAACACGATATGCTGTTTTAATCTGATCACAAATAAAAACAAAGAATATCAAAATAGTATTGCTGAATACAGATAATAAATACAGTGCTGCTAACGCTTGTAAAGGTATGACGACGAGCGGCAAATGGACCGCAACTTAGAGGTAAAGGTGATACAACGTGTGTTTGTGTTTTTTGGAAAATACTTACAAAACGAGACTTTTCCTAATCCCAGTAATACAAAAATTATCCTTGTTCTCCTTATGCCAGGGGTTCCCAAACTTTTCAGCCCGCGACCCCCAAAATAACAGTGCCAGATAGTAACCCAAATAACAGTGCCAGACAGTAACCCAAATGACAGTGCCAGATAGTAACCCAAATAACAGTGCCAGATAGTAACCCAAATAACAGTGCCAGATAGTAACTCAAATAACAGTGCCAGATAGTAACCCAAATAACAGTGCCAGACAGTAACTCAAATAACAGTGCCAGATAGTAACCCAAATAACAGTGCCAGATAGTAACCCAAATAACAGTGCCAGACAGTAACTCAAATAACAGTGCCAGATAGTAACCCAAATAACAGTGCCAGATAGTAACTCAAATAACAGTGCCAGATAGTAACCCAAATAACAGTGCCAGATAGTAACTCAAATAACAGTGCCAGATAGTAACCCAAATAACAGTACCAGACAGTAACTCAAATAACAGTGCCAGATAGTAACCCAAATAACAGTGCCAGATAGTAACCCAAATAACAGTGCCAGACAGTAACTCAAATAACAGTGCCAGATAGTAACCCAAATAACAGTGCCAGATAGTAACTCAAATAACAGTGCCAGATAGTAACTCAAATAACAGTGCCAGATAGTAACCCAAATAACAGTGCCAGATAGTAACCCAAATAACAGTGCCAGATATTAACTCAAATAACAGTGCCAGATAGTAACTCAAATAACAGTGCCAGATAGTAACCCAAATAACAGTGCCAGATAGTAACCCAAATAACAGTGCCAGACAGTAACCCAAATAACAGTGCCAGACAGTAACCCAAATAACAGTGCCAGACAGTAACCCAAATAACAGTGCCAGATAGTAACCCAAATAACAGTGCCAGACAGTAACTCAAATAACAGTGCCAGATAGTAACCCAAATAACAGTGCCAGACAGTAACCCAAATAACAGTGCCAGACAGTAACCCAAATAACAGTGCCAGACAGTAACCCAAATAACAGTGCCAGACAGTAACCCAAATAACAGTGCCAGACAGTAACCCAAATAACAGTGCCAGACAGTAACCCAAATAACAGTGCCAGACAGTAACCCAAATAACAGTGCCAGATAGTAACTCAAATAACAGTGCCAGATAGTAACTCAAATGACAGTGCCAGATAGTAACTCAAATAACAGTGCCAGACAGTAACCCAAATAACAGTGCCAGATAGTAACCCAAATAACAGTGCCAGATAGTAACCCAAATAACAGTGCCAGATAGTAACCCAAATGACAGTGCCAGATAGTAACTCAAATAACAGTGCCAGATAGTAACCCAAATAACAGTGCCAGACAGTAACCCAAATAACAGTGCCAGACAGTAACCCAAATAACAGTGCCAGACAGTAACCCAAATAACAGTGCCAGACAGTAACCCAAATAACAGTGCCAGATAGTAACCCAAATAACAGTGCCAGATAGTAACCCAAATAACAGTGCCAGACAGTAACCCAAATGACAGTGCCAGATAGTAACTCAAATAACAGTGCCAGATAGTAACCCAAATAACAGTGCCAGACAGTAACCCAAATAACAGTGCCAGACAGTAACCCAAATAACAGTGCCAGACAGTAACCCAAATAACAGTGCCAGATAGTAACCCAAATAACAGTGCCAGATAGTAACCCAAATAACAGTGCCAGACAGTAACCCAAATAACAGTGCCAGATAGTAACTCAAATAACAGTGCCAGATAGTAACTCAAATAACAGTGCCAGATAGTAACCCAAATAACAGTGCCAGATAGTAACTCAAATAACAGTGCCAGATAGTAACTCAAATAACAGTGCCAGATAGTAACCCAAATAACAGTGCCAGATAGTAACCCAAATAACAGTGCCAGATAGTAACCCAAATAACAGTGCCAGATAGTAACCCAAATAACAGTGTTTCCCATACATCGACATACAAACCCCACAGATCCTCAACTCCGGTGTGTCTCACTCTTTAAGGCGAGACACGGCAGGCAAAAACATCGTTTTTCATGCACTGGTCAATTTTGAGATTTTGTGCTATTTTGATTCCATAACATGTTTTCTTTCAGGCTGTTGGAAGGAGAACGTACAAAATACACATTTAGGTGTTTATTTGCTATAGTTTGTCTATTTGCGTCTCTAGATTTCTCCTAAATTCACCAAAAGTTAGCATTCTAACGTAACATGAAGTACCGCGACCGCTGTTCGCACCATGTCATCAGAGGTATCGTTGGAAAGCTCCGTCTCTCCTGCACAATCTCATCGGATCCAAATATGGTAATTTTCTTTGTATCAGCAACCAATCGTGAAAGTACAAAGGGGTCTTAAACCAAGAAACTAAATCTCATTGGCTGGTGTCAATTTCTGACAACGTGATTCGTTCAGATGCGTCACGTGGTGTGCTAAAACACTTCCTGGTTTAGCTTTCGCTGGAAATTTAAATCTTAAAATGGCAAAAGAACAGCGGATAAAAAGTGTCACTTGCACGAAGCAATGTTAGACAAAAAACAAATGATCCCGAACACGAAATACCTTAACGGAGTGTGTCGAGGCGCAAGCTGTCATCCAGAGAACAGGAGGGTTTAGGTAGCTACGCCTCACAGCAATCTTTAAAGGTCGTTTTCTCAAAATGAGTTTTTCTACTATTCTGAGTGAGAAATTTCCACTTCAGCAGCACTTACATACACCAAACCTTCCAGTTATATTCCTATCAATATTCTGAAGGTTTTTACAGAAGGGTTTGTTCATATATCATTCATAGCCTGAATTATTTAACATGTTATACCTAAAAACATGGCGAAAATTGATATTTTACGGCTGTTTTTTTGAGTGAGAAAAAGAGACATCCAAAATCCCTTCTGAAAAAACTTTAGATTCTAATATGACTACAAAATGAAACAAGAATTTCGAACCTGGCTTTATCCAATGTTCAGATTAAGGGGGGGGCGGGTGGGGGGGTAATAATAATTGTATTTAACCCCTGCTCTATGCTACTATCTTAAAAAAAATGGGTTAGCCTGATCAATGCGATGCATATCCATGAATAATAAGCTGCTGATTTGGAGAACATAATACAATAAATATATACTTTGAAAGCCAAGAATCTCCTTTTTCACAATGTGACTGATTTTGATAAGCTATGTTTACATATGCACTTTAATAAATAGCATGTTAGTGCCGTTTCTAGCACGTTTTTTATTGATTTCTTGTTGTTACAGATCTACCAGCTCCCAGAGTGGCGGCTGGTGTTCCTGGTGAAGAACTTCCCCGTTGGTCAGAGAGTTTTGGTGGACAGTTCTTCCGGCCAATCGGCAGCGCAGGGGGACGGTAAAAAAGAGGAAGTAACTCGGCAAGGAGACATCCCGCTCGTCAAAGAGGTGTCTTTGGTCTCACTGGGCTACATGTGCAGCAGACCGTATTTACTGGTGAGTTTTGTTGTGTGTCTGGATTCAAATTAAGCTCCATAAGAAAAAGTGTTTTTGTTTTATTGATCTTGATATCTACGTATATCCAAACCTAAAAGAGTTCTTGATTTCTAAACACACAAGACAATAGAGCGCCACAGTGACGCGTCCTAAAACCCGGAAGTATATTAGCATTTTACCACTTCCGGTTCCTTCGACAAAAAGCAATGCAATTTCTCCATAGGATTTTGGAAAATAGCTGAACTAAGGTCTGTGGTTGAGACACATTGAAGAGACGGGTCACGTTTTGTTCTACGACATTAAATCCATCAGCAGTGACCCCACTGGTGATTTCTGAAGAGTTGACGTGTCTGAAAAACGATGTTTGTTACCGAGTGGCTGAATAGGACTACAGAAGTTGTGGAGGCCGTTGTACGTCATTACGCCGAACACGTAAACACTCCTCTAAGTTAGTTAGCCCTGTTCTGCTTGAAAGCAAGTCCCTGCCTCCTGCAGACTGTTCAAACAAACGCTTCAACTTGTACCATTTATAATCTGTGTGTTTGAATATGGATCTGAAGTTGGCGTGACGTTGAAGCAGCGACCCTGCTGTAGTTCGTTTATAGCATAACGTTAGCATTTTGCTTCTGGCCATTAGATTTATGATTAGAAAATTATAAAAGTAGGGTAGACATGTGGAGATTATCCGGCTGAACAAAATGTGATCCGTCTCTTCAATGTGTCTCAACCACAGACCTTATTTCCAGCTATTTTCCTAAATCCTATGGAGAAATTGCATTGCGTTTTTGTCGAAGGAACCGGAAAGAGTTTACTTCTGGGTTTTAGGACGCGTCACTGTGGCACTCTATATATTTACAGTATTTGCCACGACATGCTGGCACTACAAATAACACAAGAACTGTGAGCTTGTGTCTGGGGTGTTTACAGGCCACTGTAAAGTTGACTTTACTAGTTTTAGGACGTGTCACTGTGGCACTCTTTGGGTTCTTGTTTTATAGTTCAAAGGAGAACATCTTCTTGATTTGTAGTGTTCTTGTTGTCTAGATATATAAGAGGAAATGCTCTTGTTTTCTAGGTCCATGTGGAGCAGGAGCTTCTGATCTACGAGGCGTTCCCTTACGATCAACAGCAGCCACAGAACAACCTGAAAGTGCGCTTCAAAAAAGTAAGATCTTAACATCGATAAAGATGAACATCATGGAGTGAAATCTGAACAAAGTGGATCTTAACTGTGCTTCTTTACTTCTGCACAGGTTCCCCACAACATCAACTTCAGAGAAAAGAAAACGAAGGTTAAGAAAGATAGGAAGGCGGAGAGTGGAGCCACGGAGGACAGCGTTTCTGTGAAAAGCCGGATCGCCAGATTCAGATACTTTGAGGACATCTCGGGATACTCAGGGGTGAGGATGAAAAGAAGAATAACAGCCGTGTTGTGACAACATTTAAATATAAGGAAATAATGGTATAACTATATTAATACAGGGATGCAAACTTGTCACCTTTTTCATACCTGATGAGTTTGCATCCCTGTAATAAGGCTGACACGATATCCTGGGGGAAATACACAAGCGAAATGGAGCAGTCAGTAAAGTAATATATACAAAATAGATACATTATAATTAGCTGTTATTACATACTTCTTTAATGGTAGAATTTCCCAAGGCAGCCCTACTTGATTATTTGCCACCTTTTTATACTAAATTAGATTTTACAGGTGTGTTTTCCATCATCGTACTAGCTCTCCTCGTTGTTTCAGGTGTTTATCTGCGGGCCGTCTCCTCACTGGATGCTCGTCACGTCCCGCGGAGCCATCAGGCTTCATCCAATGACCATCGACGGATCAATAGAGTCCTTCGCTCCCTTCCACAACATCAACTGTCCCAAAGGGTTCCTCTACTTCAACAAACAGGTACACACACACACACACACACACACACACACACACACTCACACTCACACTCACACTCACACTCACACTCACACTCTCACACTCACACTCACACTCACACTCACACTCACACTCACACTCACACTCACACTCACACTCACACTCTCACACTCTCACACTCACACTCACACTCACACTCACACTCACACTCACACTCACACTCTCACACTCACACTCACACTCACACACACACTCACACACACACACACACACACACTTCGGTAGTATTCGTTGGGGGTTGCCTTCACTGTCACTTCCACAAAGAGAAACAAAAACACAACCTTGTAATTAAATGATTATACTGTGTGTGTGTGTGGGTGTGTGTGTGTGTGTGTGTGGTTGTTGTGTGTGTGTGTGTGTGTGTGTGTGTGTGGTGTGTGTGTGTGTGGTGTGTGTGTGTGTGTGTGTGTGTGTGTGTGTGTGTGTGTGTGTGTGTGTGTGTGTGTGTGTGTGTGTGTGTGTGTGTGTCCTTCAGGGTGAGCTAAGGATCAGCGTCCTGCCCACCTACCTGTCCTACGACGCCCCCTGGCCCGTCAGGAAAATCCCCCTGAGGTGCACCGTGCACTACGTCGCCTACCATGTGGAGTGCAAGGTAATATCCTCTCACACAGAAGAAGACACACACATTTAAAAGTGTTTGAAAAATCTCCCTGGTCCCCGGCTTGAGCTTCAATCTCAGGATCCATGTATGTGTGATCCTCTCCAGAATGGAAGTAGTCATCACATACAGAGCATCAACTAGTTCCTGAACAGTGTCCTTCACATGCTGATATCCAAGAGAGGGAGTTACACAGTCACAAGATGGAGGAATAGAAAGCAGTATTCAATGTTTACTTCAGATTAGCTCCACGTCAGAAATGATCATGCTTGTCATATGTCTATCTCCATAGAGGCTGAATCATCATGTTAATCACATAGCTATCATATGCCTCAAACAGTCCTGATGCTCTTCTAGGTAATCATACATCCTGTCATGTTCACAGCTACAGTTGGGATACCTTTGTTATCATGTTACTCTCATATTGGAAGAGGACATTCAGTATCCACACACACACACCTCCACCATGCGAAGTAACAGCGCGTCGATCGCTTTGAAGAGTTTGAGATGAAAGCCCTCTGGCCTAACGTTTTTTTCTCTGAGAGAGAACAGGAAAATCAATGTGTGTGTGACTTTGAAGGGATTTGTGTTTGATGTGAACTTTTTCTCAGATTTTTGGGGGGGATTTTATTTTCTCTTTTAGGTGTACGCTATTTGCACGAGTGTGAAAGATCCGTGCACACGCATTCCCAGGATGACGGGAGAGGAGAAGGAGTTTGAAACCATAGATCGAGGTCAGAAACACACACACACACACACACACACACACACACACACACACACACACACACACACACACACTTCTGGTTTATAAGTTAATTTAGCTACTATTTTATTTATTTGTGTTGCTACTATTTTTTTAGACTTCAACCTACAGTTTTAATCGCAGTGTAGTGAGCGGGTAGTTCTCTGATATTACTTTAACTCTGACACACTGTCCCGTTGTTTCTCGTGTGTTTCTGCAGATGATCGTTACATTAACCCTCAGCAGGAGAGGTTTTCCATCCAGCTCATCTCTCCGGTCAGCTGGGAAACCATTCCCAACACACGGTAAGACCTTCGCTCCTTATTAATCTCATCGCTCTTTGAAAAACAATTAGTGTTAAGTTAGCAAAAATCAATAAAGACACCTTGTTTTAATAGACATGAGGCGCCTGTATATGTCCTGACCTTCCTTTGTGTCTCTCTAAGGTTTGACCTTGAGGAGTGGGAACATGTGACCTGCATGAAGACGGTGGCGTTGAGGAGTCAGGAGACGGTGTCCGGACTGAAGGGATACATCGCTGCAGGAACCTGTCTGATGCAGGGGGAGGAGGTCACCTGCAGGGGGAGGGTCAGCAACACACACACACACACACTCATTATTCATGATTCATTCACAATAACAAAAACATCATCTGACTCCTTCCTGTTTGATCCTCAGATCGTGATCCTGGATGTGATCGAAGTCGTGCCGGAGCCCGGTCAGCCGCTCACCAAGAACAAGTTCAAGGTTCTGTACGAGAAGGAGCAGAAAGGCCCGGTCACCGCTCTGTGCCACTGCCACGGATACCTGGTGTCAGCCATCGGACAGAAGGTCTCACACGCACACACACACACGCACACACACACACACACACACACACACACACACACACACACACACACACACATGCACACACACACACACACTCATAAAGCACATATCTGGAGTTTGAAAATCACTGCTGTCCCCTCATTCCAACTCCAAGATTCAGTCTTCCTTTTCCATTAGCAGTACTTTCAAAGCAAGCGACGGGGATAAATAAAAACAGGGTGTGCAACAGGTCTTAGTTTCATAAACAGTTTATCTTATCCTGCTTTTGAATTGGACCCATGGACAGGCAATTAAAAAAAAATATATAATGGAAATGTATGTTTTCTCTCCAAATAGGCGCTTTCACACCGGAGTACTTTTCCCAGTATAGTTCTGATAGTTCTTGAAAATGTGCGTTCACACCAAAAAAAATCCGGAACTAGAACTTAGTCCATGAGAACCTTTCCACCCCCTTTTCAGTCCCTGCTAGAGAGCAGGTACTTTCATGGGAGAAAAAGGTTCCCATTTCTGATTGGCTGGGCGGATTGCAAACCACGCCCCGTAAAACGCAGAAAAGTCTTTGTGAAGCCGCCATTTTATTTGCTCGCATTAGCATTATTAGCATTAGCATTAGCCCAGCGCACCAACGGAGAGAGACTAACTTATGGCAACACATAAAAAAACATGGGAGCGGTGGAGATGAGGAGGTGTCGGTGTTCTGGCGATTTACTCGGAAGGCTTCAGTAGAAGCTGCTGGGAGTCCCAGCAGCTTCTACTGAAGCCTTCCCCAACTCAGGGGACTTCCGGCCGGGGACTTCGGGTGGCAGTATACGCCGTGAAGTTGTTTGCGGCCTGCCAGTAAACCCAAAGCAGCAGAAGAAGAAGAAGAAGTGACGCCAGTGGCTCCCTCAGGGACTTATTCCGGTGTGAACGCGATTTACTAGATAGTTCCAGGAAATAAAGGTGCGGGAACTATTCCTGGGAAAAGTACTTGGTGTGAAAGCGCCTATTGAAACTGTTACCTTAGCATTATAGAACTCATGGTAACTTTGATAACTTATTTAAAATGGTGTTTTATTACGCAACAAACAGCCACAATCAAAACAAATGGCCACAAAGGCACCGGTTTAAATAAACAACAGAATGAACTAAGGTAGACTCTTTAAATAAGAGTTTTAACAAGTTAGCACACAAGCAAAATGACTAACAAACAAATAAACAAAAGAAAGCCTCACTTCTAAAGTGGAAAGGAGAATTAGGCTAACAAAAAATAGGCTGTTATAAAACACAGCCTGGAGACAAATTAACCACAGTTAACGTTGTTCCTTAAATAAGCAGAATACAGGTATAAGCACACAAATACAAACAACTAAGTTAACCACTGTTAACTGAACTAACACAGAATGTATGGAGCGAGAGCCGAGAGACGTCTGACACAGATTCAGACCTCTCCGGACTAACACGTGCACACGGTCTTGTAGTCGCCCCGGAAGGTGTGTGCGGGGATTGGAGAGTCGGGCCCGGCCTGCTCCAATCCAGATCTTCGGTCACGCCTACTGGGGGAGGGACAGGAAACTGGCATCCAATGGCGTCGGGGCAACGGCACAGCTCATATACATATATAATACACAGCTGCAAACAAAGGTTAATGGGCAGAGAGAAGGCGGCGGCTGTAACAGTTTCATAAACAGTTTTGCTTTTGAATGGAAAAGGAAATGTATTTTCTCTCCGAAGGCATCAGTATCACATTGAGACTGTTACCTAAGCATTCAATAACTCTAAGGTAACTTTGAGCTCCTCCTCGTTGTACCTGCAGATCTTCCTGTGGGTCCTGAAGGACAACGACCTGACGGGAATGGCCTTCATCGACACTCAGCTCTACATCCACCAGATGTTCAGCATCAAGAACTTCATCCTGGCTGAAGACGTGATGAAGAGCATTTCTCTGCGCGCTACCAACAGGAGAGCAAGACGCTTGTCACTCGTCAGCAGGGTGAGTAAAATCAGTCTTAGTGAGTTTTTAATGATGTATTATTATGTATTTATTTCAACAAGGAACGTGTGTGTGTGTGTGTGTGTGTGTGTGTGGTGTGTGTGTGGTGTGTGTATGTTGTGTGTGGTGTGTGTGTGTGTGTGTGTGTGTGTGTAGTGTTGGTGTGTGTGTGTTGTGTGTGTAGTGTGTGTGTGTGTGTGGTGGATGTGTGTGTGTGTGTGTGTGTGATGTGTAGTGTGTGTGTGTGTGTGTGTGTGTGTGGTGTGTGTGTGTGTGTGTGCTGTGTGTGTGTGTGTGCTGTGTTTGTGTGTGGTGGTGTGTGTGGGTGTGTGGTGGCCGTGGATGGTGTTGTGTGTGTGTGTGGCTGTGTGTGTGTGTGTGTGTGTTGTGTGTGTGTGTGTGTGTGTGTGTGTGTGTGTGTGGTTATAGTCAGAGCTCTGCTGTCGTCATGCTGTTGTATGATTGGTGTTTAGCCACAGCACCTCCGCTTTTAGAGTTGACGTAGACCCGGAGGTCCCCCGGGGTTGTTGCGGGAGCTAACGCTACATTAGCAAAACAAACGCTATTTTTTTTTTTTGCAAAGGTGCGGCGGGCTTCAAACACGTTCCCCTCCCCTGGTTTCAACCAAGCACTAAATTCGGTTGAACTTACACTTCCCCATATTTATTTGTAAGTAGATTCGAAGATACCTAATTTCTGACTGCCGCTAGCTGAAGCTTGGTTGCTAGGTTACTAGCTGGGTGTTCTCCGATAAGGGGCCGGGGGAATCAAAGTTAGTGATTACTGGTTCCATGTTGATTTATTTCAATACAAATTGTTGGGGGGAACTGAAAGGCTCTTATCGTACAGGTTACTTTGCAGCCCGGACATTTCCCCCAAAACACATTTAGACGCGATCGCAACACAGAAGTACCTTTCAAATCCCATCATTTTGAAGACCTTCTAAATCAGTGGTTCTCAACTGGTGGGTCGCGACCCAAAAGTGGGTCGCGGGTCCGTTTCGAGTGGGTCGCGGATGTGTGAGTGAAGAAGAAAAAAAAGTTTTAATTTTTTTTTTGCTTTTTTTTTTAAACTTTTAATTTGAATGCCCGTGAAAAACAAACAATGGCAGAAAATATTATTAATATGTCGGGTAGTAATAGATGTATTTATTTTCTTCTCAGAGTGTACCAGAATGTGTAGTTTATATGTTAGTATTTCTAAAAATCTCCTGGGGGAGAATCCCCCCAGACCCCCTGCTGGGTTTGGGTTTTCAGCATGTGTGCCTTTTTATGTTATATAGTTCAGCTTTGATTCCATCATCTCATTAAACCTTTTTAAAGCATACTTTGGTTCTGTGAAGGGATATAAGGGATATATGCACTGTACTTCACTTTCATTAATATTGTATTCTGAAAAGCGTATATATTACAGCACGATTTTTTGTTGAATAGATTTAAGTGGTTCAAAATGGTGGGTCGCGATTTATTGACAAAGTAAAAAGTGGGTCCCGAGGCCTGACCAGTTGAGAACCACTGATCTAAATCATATTTAAGACCTTTCTTATTTTTTTGATCATATTTAAGACCTTTTTAAGGCCTTCAATTCTGATTATCAAATGTAAGACTTTTTAAGACCCCGCGGGAACCCTGTCTATCACACAAACAATTATAAAACATGATTTGAGTACAGGTCAATAAAATAATACATAGTACAGTTTAGGGCTGTGCGATTATGGCAAAAATCATAATCACGATTATTTGGGTCAATAATTGATATCACGATTATTAAATACGATTATTCATTGACTTTGAAAACATCCATTTATTGAACTTTAAAACAAATACAAATAATAATTTGAACAGTATCTTTTTAACTGTTGATTACCCTGAACGTATAATTCAACTGAAAAACCAATACAAAAATAAATGATATATTTAAATAAATAATATCAAAATAATAAATACCAATAAACAAGATCAACAAATATTTTGGAGCGCACTCCAACAAGCTACTAAACATATATAAATATGATAAATACAAATAAATTAGATCAAATATGTTGCAGTGCAGTCACAACCTAGCAAAGCAAAATAATTGTTTTTTCCGATTATGTTGTTTTCGTAATTGTGGCAGGCCAAAATCGTAATTGCGATTAAAATACGATTAATTGCACAGCCCTAGTACAGTTAAAATATAATATTACAATACAGTTCAAATTGAAAAACTCAGATTATAGTGTAGTTAATGTTGGCATGACTGGTTGCTTAATATCAATTCAGTTGTTAATTTTAAGGGTATATTTAGCGTTAATCTGGCCTAAGTGTTGTGTTTGAGTGCAGAGGAAGATTAACTGCTGCACCCACGATGTTAATTGATTGAAGTATTGACGGTGTGTTTCCTGTAATGCAGTGTCTGTATCTGTCTGGGTTTTTATTAACTGTTCTCGTACTGTTTTTGCAACAGGATGCAAAACCGCTGGAGGTTTACAGCATCGAGTTCATCGTGGATAACAACCAGCTGGGATTACTGGGTAACATTTAAAACACGCTAATGATGCACATTTAATTTAATTAGCAAAGAAATGTCCTTATTTTCTCATTAACCTCCTTTCTCTTTCCTCTTAGTGTCCGACCGAGACAAGAACCTCTATGTATATATGTATTTACCTGAAGGTATGTATGGTATATGCTAATGTGTAAAGTTTAACAGCAACAGGGTGAGAATGAAAAACAGCACAGATTCACACAGATTAGAGATGAATCAAATCAATGTGAAAAATAAAATTATATACAGTTAAGTAACTTTAAAATAGAAAATGAATCAAAATGAACATATATATATATATATAAAAACATTTTTTTATTGAAGACACATAGAAAAGACATTTGGTACATTGATAGGAACCTCAGTAGACACAAATGAGAGAGATTTGAAGAAGGTTAAGAAGGGTTGCCATTATGGCACATTTCCACTGCAGGGCCTCGCACGGCTTAGTACGGTATAGTTAGGCCTTGGTAGGCCAGGCTCACTTTATGCTGCGTTTCCATTACAGTTTAGGAACTAGGGCAGTAACTATAGTAACGCAGTGTAGGCGGAGCCGTGACGTCATCTTCAATGCGAAACACAAAACCAACATCAGCCGTTAGCTGTTAGCACTCAGAGCTCACAGCTCCTCATATCTGTTCAGAAACTAGACAAAAGTGAAACAAGTACAAACCACAGACTGCCTGTGTCATGGTGAATACAGTCGCTGCTTTATTTATGTCTGTATAGGCCGTTGTTGTGAGTGTGGACGGTCGGAGCATATACTGCGTTAGCTTAGCCGATCTCCATTTAGAAAACACGCATTTTAAAAGGTGTTTCTCTGCCGTCTGTCTGCAGACTTGTCAAAGCATTAATTCATGGTTTTTACTAACCGGTATCAGTATGTTGTTACTTCGGCATCATTTTGAGACGTGTATTACAATTAAATCACGGTCAAATATGTTCATTGTGTTGTAGTTGTAGCCCCCTTGCCAGCGATTTTCTCTCTAGTTTAGCATACTCAGCCCGACTCAGCCTCGTTGTTGGCCCGGAAAAAACCACGATTTTGGAGAGCCAGAAAAACTGTGAACGAGTACCCGCTAGCCGGAACTACCCCTAGTGGAAACGCAACACAAAACGACCCGGGCACGGCACGGCACAGCACGCTTAAACCGTGCTACGCGCTGCAGTGGAAATGCGTCATTAGTGTAAAACCTAGAGGTTTCGCCTCTTAAAGAACATTTAATTTGATCCAGTTTTAGAAAAGACATAACATCCCTGAGCCACTGAGCATTGGAAGGAGTCTTGTCAATAGCGAAGAAAAAGCTTGAATATCTAATTGCCTCGAGTTGTATATAATGTCATCTTCTCGGCACCCAAATATGGCAATATGGGGCAGGAAAAGAACATATGGGATAGGTTGCAGGGAGAGGCTTGACACTTGTCACAGTTGTCAATGACAGTGTGATATATTTGGGTCGTATATATCAGTGTTAACTCACAGTAACAGGTGTGTAATGAGAGGTGTGTTTGGTTGCAGCTAAAGAAAGCTTCGGAGGGATGCGGCTGCTGAGGAGAGCTGATTTTAACGCCGGAGCGAACATCAACACGTTCTGGAGGATGCCGTGCAGAGGAGCTCTGGAGGCCGGCAGCAAGAAGGCTCTGAGCTGGGACAACAAGCACATCACATGGTTCGGTGAGTGGACTTCTCCCAGATTAAGATTTCAACATTTCAAAGGTTTAATGTCATATACACATACATTTAGGAGTTTAGCAGTCTTATGGCCTGTGGGGTAAGTCCCTGAGTCTGATTAGGCTGGATAACTCTATGATTTAAACCAGGGGTGTCAAACTCAATAGGCGCTTTCACACCGGAGTACTTTTCCCACTTTAGTTCCGATATAGTTACGAAAATGTGCGTTCACACCAAAAACATCCGGAACTAGAACTTAGTTCATGAGAACCTTTCCACCCCCTTTTCAGTCCCTGCTAGAGAGCAGGTACTTTCATGGGAGAAAAAGGTTCCCATTTCTGATTGGCTGGGCGGATTGCAAACCACGCCCCGTAAAACTCCCAAAAGGTTTTGTGAAGCCGCCATTTCATTATCCTCGAATTAGCATTATTAGCATTATTAGCATTAGCCCAGCGCACAAACGGAGAGAGACTAACTTATGGCAACACAAAAGAAAACATGGGAGCAGTGGAGATGAGGAGGTGTCGGCGTTCTGGAGATTTACTCTGAAGCCAGTCCCCAACTCCGGGGACTTGTTTAAAAAACTAGTTTTTCGGGGTTCGGGTGTTTTGTTTGATTTTAAATAAACAAAGTCTTGGCTTTCAGAATATGAAACTTTTATTTCCAAAATCACACGATAAATACATGTTTGAAGCTTGTAAACGGAAGATGACACCTCTCACTCGCACTCTGCTCTCTCTGCCCCCCCTCCCTCCGGCTGACATTATGAATGTAAGGCGTATAGTAATCATAGATAACACGGCAGGGTCGGTTACAGTTTGATTTCATCTGATTTCAAATAAACAAAGTCTTGGCTTTCAGAATATTAAACTTGTTTCGGCAAATTCAGATGATAAATACAACTTTGAAAGCTTGTAGACATAATTACAAGCGGAGAACGGAGTAACTTGACGTCACAGCAGGCGTAAGAACAGCCGGTGTTTCTCGTGAGTGTTTTCCCCGGGAAACAAACACAATACACACAAACGCGTCACAGATTATTTCGCGGTGTTTTGGCTGCCGAATGAAATCACGTAGCATCAGCACTACAAGTAAACATTTTTTTTTAAATGTTTTCTTTTTTTTATTAATTACGTTGTTTTCTAAATTGATCTGAGGGCCACAAAAAGAGGAGGTGGGATTTGCCCATCCCTGCTTTAGATGATGCTTTTCAATCCTTTAATACCCAAGTGTTTCTTATGGACTAACCCTTTGAATGAAATGTCTCCCCACAGCCACTCTGGACGGAGGAGTGGGCATGCTGCTCCCGATGCAGGAGAAGACGTACCGCAGACTGCTGATGTTGCAGAACGCTCTGAACAGCATGCTGCCTCATCACGCTGGACTCAACCCCAAGGCCTTCAGGTTCTTATCACTCATTACAGAGTCACTGCGTATAAACATGACATCAGAAAGACCTTTACTGGCATCCTTTATTATTAAAGTACCTCCGAAATTCCTCCCAAGTACAGTGTGGTGGAAACTCCACACTTAATCACCTTCTGGTAAGAAATGAACAAATCTACAAGTTTAAACCAAAGTTGTGTTATTTAAAGTGGACCTATCATACTATATTTGAATAATATAGTGTAGGACCATACCTATATAAGGCATATTTATCCTTTTTTTTTTTCAAAATACCAAACAGATCATGCATTTTAGCCATGCCTCATTTTGCTCAATTTGACAATTTCAAGCTCTGTTTTAGCAAGGGCTGATTCAGTGAGAACAGCACCACCTACAGGCCTGGCATATGTACTACAGCGTCTCCAGCGCTTTCGAACGGCAATGGCCGTGGCTGTCTCCTCCTGATTGGTGGAGTTGGCCCAATAGCCGTAGCGCCACCGTCCTGACGTCAGGACAGTGTTCAAATCTGGATCAGTTTTTATCAGATCCGTTGCAGCCCCTTTTTTAGAGATTTGGGTATGGAGGAAAATAGAGAGAGTTGTGTTTTCTGACACTTGGTGAGTTCCCTGGAACACCGGGGACACATATTCATGTATAAAAGACGTGCAAAAGTGCATTTTGCATGATAGGTCCCCTTTAATAAAAAGGTAAAGCATTTAACAGAATCAATATATTTCCAGCTTGAAGGACAGATAATCACTGATCGATGGTTCAAAGATCTGACCACGTTACAACGGAAAAACAAGCACTCTATACAGGAAAAAGACAAAAGGGGAAGGTCTCAGCTAGAATTTACATTACAGTCTTCAGAAATGTTGGCCAGACGGGCAAAACTTGCATACATGCTAATTATAAACCTAAAGCTTCTTACACACCAAATAACACGTCCTGATGGAACGTCGCCTCACGTCTCTGCGTCTTGGCCATGTGTCGCACTGGAACACACCTCAAAGACTTCAGCCGACGGCCAAGAAGCACGTACGAACTGCGCATCCGTGAGTGGCAATAACTGTCCTTACCAGCAGGCGGCGGTAGTGTGTATTCGTCATTCAAAAGAGGCAACAACCGGAAGACAGACTGCGTGATACACCGAGAGAAGAAGAACAGACTGCGTGATATATACAAACAACAAATAGCGTGCGTTCCATGTTCACTCTACAGCGAGAAGCTCATGGGGCTTTCCCCAACCTGTGTCGAGAGCTGGAGTTAAATGAAATCTCAGATTTGCCTTCTTAACAGTTTGTTTGGGTCCCTCACTTCTGTTTCGCTTCTCATGCACTGATTCGCTAAGCTGAACAGCCAATCAGAGTGATTTCTTTGGCCGGGAAAGGTGTCGGCACGGCCAAAAAGACACAACGGTGCAGTACACACCAATCTGAGTAGGGCGACAGGACGCTCATCGACGGCCCGACATCGATCGACGTGTAAGGACCTTAAGATCCATATGATAATTGCCTGACAATGGCCAACCCTTCTGTCTTGAGAACATTTAGTGTAGCTGGGTGTGGCCTTGGCTTCTATGCACGAATGGTGGTGAGTGCTCCTGGAATTGTCCATATCCACCGCTGCTACTGTGGTTCGTCTCCGTGTGGACGGGGCCTTAGTAGCTAGGTGTGAATTTAAACTGTTAGAAGATCAACCCAAGATAAACCTATATATATATTGAGACTCTTCCTCCCTCACCGCATTCAAAAACTCACTCAAAACCCACCTGTTAAACACTGCATTCACCCACTGACCCCCACCCCACTTAAACACTGCATTCAAACACTGACCCCCACCCCACTTAAACACTGCATTCAACCACTGACCCCCACCCCACTTAAACACTGCATTCACCCACTGACCCCCACCCCACTTAAACACTGCATTCACCCACTGACCCCCACCCCACTTAAACACTGCATTCACCCACTGACCCCCACCCCACTTAAACACTGCATTCAACCACTGACCCCCACCCCACTTAAACACTGCATTCACCCACTGACCCCCCACCCCACTTAAACACTGCATTCAACCACTGACCCCCATCCCACTTAAACACTGCATTCAACCACTGACCCCCACCCCACTTAAACACTGCATTCAACCATGACCCCCACCCCACTTAAACACTGCATTCACCCACTGACCCCCACCCCACTTAAACACTGCATTCACCCACTGACCCCCACCCCACTTAAAACACTGCATTTCAACCACTGACCCCCACCCCACTTAAACACTGCATTCAACCCACTGACCCCCACCCCACTTAAACACTGCATTCACCCACTGACCCCCACCCCACTTAAACACTGCATTCAACCACTGACCCCCACCCCACTTAAACACTGCATTCAAACACTGACCCCCACCCCCCTTAAACACTGCATTCACCCACTGACCCCCACCCCCCCCCGTTTTTCTGTTTGTCTCGTTACGTATTTTCTTAGTTTTTGTGTTCCTCTCTGTCAAAGCGTCTTTGAGTTCCTAGAAAAGCGCTATATAAGTGTCATGTATTATTATTATTATTATTATTATTATTATATTGACTTCAGAATCAGGTTTATTTCCAGGTAGGTCGACACGTACGAGGAATTTGACTTGATGTCGTGGTTCATACATACAAGTTAAACAAGAATGGATAGAGAACTATTTTAAGAAAACTATAATAACATTAAAAAATAATAAAGAATTGCAGCATAGAAATAGAATCATAGAATGTGATAAAAGTCCATGATAGACAGGACTTGGGTAAATGATCCTTTTGTCTTCCTGTGTGCAGAATGCTGCAGAGTAACAAACGCTGCCTGCAGAACGCGGTGAGGAACATTCTGGACGGAGAACTGCTCAACAAATACCTTTACCTCAGCACCATGGAGCGCAGCGAGCTGGCCAAGAAGATCGGAACCACGCAAGACATCGTGAGTACTCAGAACAGGAGAGGGCTGTTATACAAATCAAAAAAATATGGACTAGTGCAATATCCAAACAGCTGGGAGCACTGTAATTTAGCTTTATTTGGGGTCACATTATATTCAAAGTGCATCTCTTTAGAGACCCGAAAATGGCAAATTAAATAGAGCCCAGTAACACTTTAAGGGCAAGTGGGACAAACACCTCCCAGGTAACGTGACACTGTTGTTGTGTGAGATGAGAGCGGTTTGATTCAGTTCACAATATAATTTACAAACCGGGCTACAACTAAACCTGACCGCAAGCTTTGCACACGGAACAAAATTAGTAAAATAAAAACGAAAAAGTACGTAGGGGTTGTTTGAAATGACAAATATCTACACAAGTATCTACTTAAACACACACACATATATGTACACACACATATATATACATACATACATACATTTGTCTATTTTTAAGGGGTTTTTATATATTTTAATTTGTATTTTTCCGATTTATTTGTGTATTTGTTAAGTATTTATTTTAATTTAAATTAGTTATTTATCATTTTTTGGGTATATTTATTCAGCAATCACACCATGTTCATTTTAATTAGATTCAGTGATAATGTGAATTTTTCTAAATTGTGAACCCCTATACCAGGGGTGTCAAACTCAAGGCCCGGGGGCCAAATCCGGCCCGCGACTTCATTTTATGTGGCCCCACAAGAGCTTGCAAAGAATATAATATGTTTATTATACGGTTACATGCTACTTTACAGAAGCACGTTGCCCATAAACGACATGTCCCACAATGCATCTCAAATTTGACTTTTTCTCAGAATTTGACTTTTTTTGTCCAAAATATGCCTTTTTTCTTAGAATTAGCCTTTTTCTCATAGATTTTTTTTTCAAAATGTCACTTCTCTTTTTCAAAATGTCACAATCAATGTTTTTCCAGAATGTGGCTTTTCTTTTAAAATCATATTGTGACATTCTTACTGAAGAGACTTGCAATTATTTGCTCTAGACTTCTGCTTTCAGACGTAGTTAATTATGAAGTTATATTAATTAATGATAAAGTCTTAAAGTTACAACCGGCCCTTTGAGTGCAACCATAATGCTGATGTGGCCCGTGATGAAATTGAGTTTGACACCCCTGCCCTATATCGAACTCTTAGTTTCCATTATTATGAATGACTAATGTTGAATTCCCGCTCTCTCCTCAGATCCTGGACGACCTCCTGGAGGTGGACCGAGTCACGGCTCATTTCTGAGAAACATTCCCCCCCGACTCGTCCACTGAAATGTTTTTTACTCAACGGAGAACAATTTTTTTGTTTATGGCCGTTTTTTGTGCAAAACTGATTTGTTTTTCTTACTTCGTAGACAAAAAAAAAGAAGAGAGGACAGCTATGTTTTCTTAAGATATTTTGTATTAAAAAAGAAACAAAAATCAGTAAAAATTAATTTACACAAGCGTTGGGTCTGTGTGTGTTTTTTGAGTCTTTTGTGAGCTCGCCCACTCTGTTCTGATGAGTCCACCACCGTTACAGCTGAACATCAGTGAGTATGTGTTACAATGGCGTTTGTTAGCAACCAGGAAATGACAAACAGATGAGAATGCTGCGTGGGGTCTGGGTGCCGTGTTGGCGGGACGTTACGGGGCTCGCTGCTCCGCCCTTTGAGACTCGAGAAAGATAACGGCTGAGTGAGTGTTTCTCCGCGATCCCAACTCGTCTATTACCAACGTTCAGGGAGCTCATATAATCATTGCGTAGGTGTGTAGTGTGATTCTGTGTAGTGTATTTATGGCATCCCGTTGGGTTTGACGTCATCTGAACAGTGTGGGGGAAACTTCTGAAGCAATGGGAGTCAGGACTCAAAGAGAGACACGATGGAGAGCTGGAGCTTTGATGGCAAACACTGACGGTTTATTTTGGAGCTTCGGCCGGAGAATTCACAAGACATGTCACGGGCCACGAGTTGACCACCACGGTTGAGATGCCACAATCAGCTCTGAAGAACTCCACCCCAGACCCGTGTGTTTAGCTAGTTCAGAGAGAATAATCAACATTGTGCAAAACAAGATAGAATCATCACACCTCTATCAGCTGACGCCAACAGGCAGGAACAAGGAGACAACACTGAGAGCACAGCAGCCAAGGCTACAGGTGCGTGTGCTCAGTCAGGACAGTTTGAAAAAGTTATGGGCCTTGGAAAATATTTCCCCAACAAACAGGACATCGCACGGACCTACGGACCGCTTGATGGCGCGCGTAGGTCCGAGCGTCCTCAATGTCGAGGACGCTTCCTTGGTAGGACATGTCCCTCCGAGTCAGGTCCTTCAGAAGCGAGGCAAGAATCCTTCCTAGCCTCGGGGAAAACGAAGAATGGTGGAACAGGCTAACAGGTGTGCGTCATATGCGAGGCCCCGCCTTAAACGGAGCGCGATTTCCGCCAAAGATTTTGGAAATTGGTCCGTGCGCAAAGCATTGTGGGGATTTTAAGACCGCGGAGGATACACATGTGCAGCCTCGAAATTTCCCGGTATAATTCCAAGGATCCTGGACATGGGAACAGTCCTTCGGCGGCACTCGATGACGTAGCATCCTTGAAATAGTGGCTCTGGAGCAGCCTTCCTCGACATTGAGAAACACCCTGGATATAGTAAATGTGAGGTAAAATGTGTCGCCAATGTAACCGGTTAAAACTCGAAGTGGCGATGAGGTCTTAAAATGTATGGAAAGGGTCTTAAAAAAGGACTTACATTTGACTTCCGGATTCGTGCATATACCCTGGATTAATATGATAAAGTAAAAATGTCCAATAAAATAGAATAAATATATGAAACAAGAAGTTTAATTAGAAATGTCAAATAGTGGTAAAATGGATTAAAAATGTGTTTGTAAACATAACATTTTCAAAGCGAGCATGTGCAATAAAAACATGAATTTAAAATGAAAATGTCCAATAAATATGGGGAAATGTGTCATACTCAAAAAACAAAACATACTTTTTTTTAGGCAATTTAATTCACAAGAGTTACAGATAACGTCTTTGAGTGATAATCACAGTGATGCCTTAAAGAGGTAGAACATTTTAATTAAAATTGTTACAAACATTTCTTCAAACGGCACTGGACTTTTCAGCAGCATCAGAAAGATATATGTGTTATTGTACCACAGCTTGATCAATAATAACAATTTATAATGTGTATTTCTGTCATTAAAGCTGCAGTCACGTCTCATATTGAAATATTTCAGGACAATCCATGAGAAACAGTGAAGGCGCCGTTTGTCGTCGTGTAGCTTGTTATTGCAACTAAATTATAGTTATTAAACCTACAGTACATTACCTTCACTGAAAGCATTGCTTAGCCAGGATGTCGCCTCAAAATATAGAATCTGACAGAATAAATATCACCAATATTTACTAAAATGTAAGATAAAATAATTTGCTGTGCTAAAGATTATAATAAAATGGATTGAAAGAAAATGGATTAAAAACTAAGGCTGTTTTCTGCTCTGGAGTGAGTTCGGTACTTCAGTCCTGCAATTTGAACCACCCGTATTTTAAAAAAAAGTCCAGGAGCACCGTCACCAGCAGCTTTTCCAGGTAAAGGCTTCTTGTATTTGGAATATGTCCTTCTTTATCCTCTCTTCCTTCACATGTACTACCTCAGGTACTCGTACATCTCTGCGTCGAGAGAAATCAGACCACAGTACGACAGCAAACTGAGGAAGGAGCGCGTCAGATTCATCGAGGCCATCTCCCACCTGTGGAAGAGTCACATTGTTCTTTAAAGAGTCCTCTCCTGCTGATGTTCAGGTGTATATCAGTATGTAGTGTCTCTACTTTAAAGAGTCCTCTCCTGCTGATGTTCAGGTGTATATCAGTATGTAGTGTCTCTACTTTAAAGAGTCCTCTCCTGCTGATGTTCAGGTGTATATCAGTATGTAGTGTACACTGAACTTGACTCACCTTAAAGCCATTTCAACTTGAGGCCCTCCCACGACGTTCCTCACCCAGCGGAAGACCCTGATCCTCGACAGCCCCCCCGTGGTGTCAGCCTGCAGCCGCCCCCAGCCCCGAACAGCACTGAGAAATAATAGAGAAGTTATTCATGTGAAGTTATAAGAAATATATGAAAACAAGCAAAATATATTAAAGTCAAAATATGGAAAAATAAAGATTTTCTTTTTTTCCAAGTCACAGTTTCAGTGTGCAGTAAACTCCCACTGTGCATTTACATTTATATTCAATTTATTATTGAATAATCAATTTCATGCACAATTAATATATATAATATCATGTATATCTTCCACATGTATATTTTTTTACTTTTAATGCTATTTTATTTCAGAAATATTTTGGATTGTTTATTTCTATTTTCTTAATTTCTCTTATGTTCATTGCCTTGTTTTTTATGCTGCAAAGCAAACATTTCCCAAATTGGGATCAATAAAGTACTTTATCCATCCATCCATCCATCCATCCATCCATCTATCCATCCATCCATCCATCCAT